TATTTGTTTTTACTAGTTTAATATAATGACTAACAGCAAAGCAATATATGGAATAAAATCATGACTAATAAGAGCATGTGGAGCACACTGATGTGATAACGTGCTACATGTATTAGTTAACTTACTTAATCTCCATCCTTTTATGAAGCTAAAAGATTAAATAACACTGATGAGTCAGAGGAAGCAAGTAGAAAAGAAATACACTGATTCTTTTCAGTATACAATATTATGACCGCTCCATTTTGGCTGACCACCTACATATTAATTCTTCGTAAATATGAATGCATAATGTCAATGGAATAAGACAGTCATGATATTGTTGTACATGGAAAGAGTTTAAATCCCATTTTCTCAGCCTCTCTCCTCCAAGATCATAATTATGCCCACTGTTTCTGGTCACAAAGAACCTACACAAGGTAAAACCACAGAAGACACCGAAGGCTCATCCACAATACAACATCCAATTGTGATACTGCCCACACTGAACTCACAATGACTGAATATATTGTGTTGCTCTTTTCACCGTCTAATAACTCCACACCGTCCACCTCAACCTGAGACCAGGAGCCTCAGACAGGAAGCAAACGACCCAGAGCTGCCCTGACCCATCAATTAAAACTCGCTTTTTAAGGCCTATAACCAATAAGGAGTATTTTGTGTAATTTTAATTTTAACTCAACAGCTGAATGCACCAAACATTGATTATAAAGTAGGGTTTCCCCCAGAAAACTTGCTAAGCCTGGTGGTCAGTCATTCATTCAGTTGACCAATGTGTTTTTGAGTTACAAAATGTTTAAAGTTGACAGGATTTTTTTAAAATATCAATTGATAATTATGTGTAATTGGAAGACTAATATTTGAACACCAACTAAAAAGTCTTAAAAAATGCAAACATAAAAAAACAACAACTAATGCTTAGCTCGGTAGGGGCACAAATAATGCCTGGTTGCCCGCCAGGCTTTATTTGTTTCTGGAAAGAAAAACATTTACGTTACAGTCTATGATAAAAAAAAAAAGGTAAGTAGTTTTGAACCCAAAGCAAAATAAAACATTATTTTTAATGTTTCATTTTAATTTATTCATCAAATATATCCCTAACCTTTGTTTGATTTTCCAAACACAGAATATTATTTCTCTCAATGTGCTAAAATTTCAATGGTGCCTTTAACAATCAAGCATAAAGAAATCAGAGCTGATCAAATGAAAACTGAATATCTGATTTCATAGGTGCATTACTATATGTCTAATACAAATCAAACAAATATGTGTTCACATCCAAACTAATGGTTTTACATGGGGATCATAGAACAGCAGCACTCCAGCGTGCCTCAATAGCCAGATGAGATTAGAAAATTAGGTCGTGGGATGGCTGGTGAACTACGTGTTGTACGGGGATTAACAGGGGACCAAACGTACAAAGAGGGCCTGCTAAGCTCCAGTCAACCATGGCTGGCAAAGATCTTTGAGGAAAGAGAGAAAAATCAGTCCACAGCTACAAAACGTCCACCTGCAGCCCTGCACTGAAGTATGATGGTGGAAAAACAAATGTATTTTGTAGCTAATTATGGTTAGCTGCCTTTACACACAGGCCCTCTCTGTTCTCTTTGGGGAGGAGGGGAGCTGCGTTGTTTCGTAACACACTTTCAACACCTACAGCACCTCTGAGACGTCCACTACCCCCCCAAAACGACCCGCTCGATTCCAGCACACGCTCACGTTACACCCGGACGCGTCCGCGACGCTCATTCACAGATGGCAACAGAGATGAAGCAGAACAAACGATTTTATTAGCGGACAAAACAAAATGGCGGAGGAGAACGGCCTACAGCCGTTAACGTAGGACGGTTGAAAACTACCACTATAAACGCAACTCACCAGCTGAAATCATTAAAAACACAAGCAACGTATGGATATAAATCTGCTTATTTTAGAAATAAGTGATAAAACACATTGATTCAAGTGATGGCAGTGTATGCTAAAGCAGCAGGGTAGGCTAGCCAAAGCTACGAGTAGCGTCAAACCAAGCTATCGTTTATCCGGTAACATCTGCTGCGTAGTTTTTGATCCGTAACACACAATCACACCAGAAACAACTTAAACATCTCACATGTAGCATAAAACAAGCAAAACATTCCCCCAGTCGAACAGCCAACGCGTTCATTTCAAATCAAACTCCCAACCTATGCTACATGACCGTTGGCTAACAACAACAATAAAAACACAAAAATATCACTGCTTCTGTACAAAACGTCGCTTTATCTAACCATCAGGAGTAACAAGGACATACTCTGGTTCAGTTTAATGTAACTGAAGAGTTAATAGCGTGTTGGAAACGTCCATCCACTGACCTGGTCCTGTCCCGACTTGTCTCGAGGTTGTATCGCAGAATAAGCTTAGCTTCGCTGCTACGGTCTGGCTTTCTAACCTCCTGCAAAGACACGCAGAGACACACGGAAAGAAAACGTCTTTGCAACAACTGCCTCCAACTTTGATTAGATCAACACTGTTCAAGATAGAAGGAGGTGTTCGGCTTACTTTCTTGTTCCTTTTCCCCCCCTAAAAAAATAAACGAAAACGGGAAAAGAAAATAGTTGATTCTGGACTCAATCCGTCACCTAAAGAGCCGTCAACGGCTACTGGGTGAATTCCGTGCGATGGGAGCCGTTTGGGACCTCAACAGAAACGACAAATGGGACCATTATTAATATTGTTTGAAAATCAAAAAATGAGGGGGAAAAGCACTTCATTCAAGTAGAGTATATATATTTAGAAACAATACAAAAAACTGTTATTTATCCCTTCTTGTTGTTTGATACCATCAGGTGTTGTGGACTTTAAAATGAGATCAGTTCATTTGATCAATGTGGGTTATAGATTTTAAAAATGGAAAATATTCCAAGTACGATAAAAGAATAAATAACTAAAATAAAAAAAATGCACGTTTTTCCATAGGGGGTGCTATTGCATGTAGGGCGACAGTGTTATCAGGCAGTTCCCAAAGCATCTGACAGCCAAACTTGGGATTTAAGGGCATCAAGGATGCTCCATACACACACTGTTTATCATTACAAGAACTTGATATGTCAAAGAAAAAAATGTAGGAAATTTGAAGATCATCTATAAGTTTATTGTTTTGCAAATTCAACTGAAAAACACTGATTTAATACACTGAATTTATTATTTTGTTTTGATGAAATGAAATGACACAAAAAAAACTCCATGTTCCAATTCTCTGAAAATTAACAACCTACATGAGACCAAATACAAATCATAATAATAAAAAATAGATATTTTGAAATGTTGGCCCACTTAAAATGGAATAGAATAAAATAAAAATAACTTTATTGTCACTTAGTGGGGAAATGTTACAGAGTAAGAAAAGAATGTAATAAAAAAATGCCATTATTTAAAAAAACACACTAATTCAAAGAAATGTGCATCTGAGCTGAATAATTAAAAGAAAATGTTTGTATCTGTGAACAAAAATAGGCTATTTACAGGGATGTAAACATTTATTAACTTTACTAAAAGTGAATAAACAGCTGGAGGAGATCTGTTTGTGACAGGAAGCCCAGGTTGCTGTAAAATCGGCTTTCAGCTTATCTTCCTCTCAAATTACTCCATAAACTCTCCATAAAGTTTAAATTAGACCAGTTCTATCGCAGTAATCTCCTAGTTGTTAAAGTATTACTATGGTTGGACTGTGTGGGCAGGTGCAAAATCCTAAACCAGCTTCCCTTTAAAGCTTGTCAGCAAAAGAAAATTTTAAATTTCCTAGTTTATGACTGCAATTGCTTTTGATTTAACAAAACTCAGTGGACCAACAGCAGACAATAACATGATAACTCCCCAAAGCCTGAATCTGGACCTTAATTAACTTGTATTTTGTATTTCTGCAGCCTCTCGATATTCAAACTGAATGAAAATTTACTTTAATCTGAAAAGTAATTTGGACAGAAGAGCAAAATTATGGTCTTTTTTTCTCATTACTTCTGGTACAAAACCACAACTAATGCTTCGAATGTTATATGTCTTTCTCACTCTGTATAAAATATGTTTTGGACTGTACTTATACTAGGAGTTTACAACTTTTATAATCTAAAGGGTCAATTTTTAGGTGAGTTTAACAAACAAAAACCACTAATGTGAAATAACCGCTGAAAAAAGGCAAGTTGTACTTTTTGATGAATATCTAGTAAAGAAAGATGATTGTAACTTTTGAAGAACAATAATTTTGTTAGATGTTTTTTTGTTTTAAAATGAAAAACAAAAGTATAGCATAAAAAGAATAAAAAAATAGTTTTGGACATAATGACAAGAAAGATACAGTTCTGTAAAAACTGCAGTGAACCCCATTAAAACCTCCTGGTTATTCCACTAAATATTGATTTCTGAACTTTTCCTGGGTTAAAACATTAGTATTGTTGTTCCTAAATGAATATGAACTTGTATTCTTTGCAGTATTTGAGGTCTGGAAGCACTGCATCTTTTTTATTTGACCATTTCTCATTTTCTGTAAATAAACAGTAAATATTTGCTTGGAATTTCAGAGACATGTTGTCAGTAGTTCATAGAATAAAGGAACAAACATACACCTATAGAGTAAAATCAGATAAACTGATCATTTTGCAGCGGCCTCTTATTTTTTTTCCAGAGCTGTAGATCTAAAAAAAAAAAAAATTATGTCTATTATCATAACTACTCCTTCAATGAAGTGCTACAACTCATATTTGTTATATTCAAAACATTTTAATCATTTCAGCAGAAGTTATTACCCCTGACTTACACGATTTCTAATAATCAAGCAATGCTTAACAATTATCCATGGCAATAATTACATTTTCTCCAGTAGCTATTTGCTGTAGAAAATCTAAATGTTGGAGACAAAATTATCTTCTTACACAAATTATTGATTTCATAATATTACATAACTTGCAATCCTACTTCTCATAGGATGTGTTTATTTCAACAGTAATAGAAATCAGGACCAGACTCAAGTCTGCAGGTTGAATAACTTCTGTAATTAAATATAACACATAATCAGCAAACTGATTTCATTATTTGAACAGCCTTCCCTCAAAACAATAACATGTTGTATTTAGGAAGTTTTAAGGTCAAGGTTCAAAAAGCAACAGTCTCCTAACAGCACAGAGTGATGGATTTAAAGTGTCTTGTGATGAAAAACATAAAGAAATAAACCACCTCTGAGAATTAATTTGTTTTGACAGAAACTAATGTTTTTTGTCATTTGACCAGATTTTAGAAAAATCTTATTGAAGTCAAAGTATTTTATGATAATTAGGTCATATTCACTAATCTATTTCACACACAAATACAACAAAAAACATCATTGTAACTGTTTTTAAATCACTCAAAGTCAACAAGAGGTATTACAAAAATATACAAGTGCATAATCCTCTAAGACTATTTATATCACTTTATATAATTACATAAAACAAAAAAATAAAGTCATGCATGAAGTTAAGGAGGGAAGAAAATACGTAATTTCTGAACTCAAATGAGTCATAAAGAAAGTAATTACCTCACAGGTTAGCTCCACCAGTTATCTGACCGTTACGTTAAATGAAATCCCAAAATAAAAGGCTTATTTTTGTTTCATGTTAAAAACAAGATTTCACAGGAGTGGCTGGAAACTGTGGAAAGATTAAACAGTGGAGTGGGATCTAATTTCACAGTTATTCTCTGTGCTTTTTCCTAACATGTGAAATTCAAACCCATAGCAGTCAAAATCACTGGAAAATATATAAAGTCCTCTAGTTTACAGCACATAAACGTCATAAAAACCTGAATTTACATAGCAGAGAATCCAGTCATGTTATAAAAAGGTTGTTTTTTACTCTGAATGTCAGATTTCTGCAGAAGACTCTGGATTTTTGCATATTTTACATTAGTTCCCACATATTTGCTCATTCTGCTGACATGGAACCTCTTTCTTTGTATCAAACCTCCCAAGCTGTCAAAGATAGTACCTTTAGATCAGGGGTGACAATACCCATTTTGGGCCAAATCAAGATCATAAGCGCGCTTAGAGGGCCGTTTGTTCCAGAATGTATTGATAAAACTCGTTAAACTGCTAAAAATATTAATACATTCTTAAAATTAAGCAATATTGAATATATTTTCAGTCCCTCCAGAATTTTGGAATTGTTTGTGTAATTTTTTTTTGCAAAAAGCAAAATGTTATGGTGCTAAATTTGGAATATCACATTCCTCGCTGTATAGATCATGGACTATAACCTGAGATCAATTAAAGCTGAGGCAGCTGTTTAGTACAAGTAAGAAAGTTTTTCACAATTTCTGAGAAAAATCAGCAATAAACTCCCAATTATGTATAAGCGCATAAAGTGTGGGTATTTGCTAATTTTGTGTGATAATTCACAAGAAACCAGAAGGACTGATTGATATAATTTGTAGTAAACAGATAAAAACTGCATTGATTTGATTGAAAACACAATATTTAAGTAGATTATACGTTTAGTCTGGAACCGTGAGGGACATAAAAAAGCTGCTTTGGGCCGGATTTGTCTTCTCCAAGGAGCTGGCCGGTTTCGGCAAACTGCAACTCCCATGTAAAATCTTTCCATGAAGTGGAAGGAAAGATAACATTTTTCCATGCATCTTTAAACATTTAAAAATAAACCACATATTTGTTGTGGTACAAAAAAGCATAAATCCCTACAAAAACACAAAGTCTTAACAAATATTTTTGGTCTATTTTCTACTGCAAATACCCTTGTACACTTGAAATAAAACAAAACTAACTAATAAGTAACTTTTCAACAAGTTATAGAAGCTTGTTTTAATTAAATAATTCCTTAATATTGATTACAAAAATAATTCTACTTCCATTGGCAAATTATTTCAATTATAGCAAGACATTTTTTGCATGTTATAAATGAAATAATCTGTCGGTGGAACTTGCAGTTTTAATCAAAATTAAGAAATTATTCACTTCAACAAACTCCTATTTCTTGCTGAAAAGTTACTTGTAAGTTACTTTTGCCTTATTTCAAGTGTGCTAAGATACTTGCAGTAGAAACTGGACCAAAAATACTTGATAAGCCTTCGTGTTTTTACAGTGCTGAATCATTTTTTTATTTGTATTCCCCAAGAATCTCCTGTTTAGCCAGGCATTGTCCATTAAGATACAAATTGAAGCTCATCAATTATTTGGCAAAACAAGATTTTTTATAAAAATAATAAAGTAGGAAAAACAGATCAAGAAGCTGGAAATTCACAGTGCAGGGTCTCCTTTTTCCAACATCCATTTTTTAAGTGTGTTTATAAAGTCTCTTGTTCTCTTCCTGAGAAAGTTTTTGTACTATCTTCTTGCATCCTTTATCCCTTTCAGGTTTACATCTGAAAACAAAACAGAATTAAATAGAAAGTCAAAGGAAAGTGAAAATATTTCCATCGATTGCTGCTGTTGTTGTTTCTTCTTACCTCCAGCCCGCTCGTCCTACCGGCCGCCGTACAGGTGTATCTTCACAAACGAGATGGTCTCAATGATATCCTTGTGGCCCTTCTCATAAATGACGAAGATGTATTTCTGGTCTTCTACAGAGTCACCGTTCAGAGATGTAATGCAGGAGTAGCCGCTCGGCCCCGGCCAGATCTGGACGGCTTTGTTCTCCCAGGTTTTTCCGTTCGTTAGCGACCATCTTAGCGTCAGGTTTACTCCTGGGGAGAGTTCAGTAAGGTTACGCTCACAATGCGGTAAATTTAAGTAAATTGCTTCATAGAATTTGATTATATTAGATAGACAGACAGACAGACACAGACAGACAGACAGACAGACAGACAGACAGATAGATAGATAGATAGATAGATAGATAGATAGATAGATAGATAGATAGATAGATAGATAGATAGAATTGAATCTTTACTCTGCACCAGTAGGTGGCGATAATGCGTCTTTTGTCAACCACTAATGACAAGAAGAAGAGCTCCATGTTTGCGGAAGTAAACTTAGATGCTAACGGAGGAGCGTATCGATTTTAAAGTTGTTGTCCGAACGGAGCCAGAATATTAACAACTTAATCCTCATTATTGTCCGCCATCGTTGTTTTCTTTCCTACTTGCGTGTTTCAAGACGCACAATCGTGACGTTTGTCGAGTATTAGTGACGTTGCGTTCGGCTGAACGCGACCTGGCCGTTAGGTTTCAAGTCACATTTGAAAAGGTCAGATACTGGGTCAAAATAATCCGATCTGTTTTGTTGAAACTGTCACCAGACACTGATAATATATCTGATTGTTAAGACTGATCCGATACGGGTCGCGTTAAGGCGAAAAAAAAAATCGGGATTGGGTCATTTCCGGCTGCAGTATGAACGTAGCTTAAGCTAGCTAACTTTATCTCTTCTGATTTTACCAACAGAAGCGAATATTTGTAAAGTTTTTTACTCATTTTGTCGCTGGACGGGTTGGTGAAGTAGATCACTCCGTCTTTCTGCAGAGCTCCAGCCGCGACTGCGGGATCAATCAACGCGGTGTCGAAGAAGACCTCTTCCACAGGGAGAGTCAGGCCTCCGTCCAAACTGCGCACCACGATGCGGCAGCGGCAGTGGTAGTTGTTCTGGTTCCGGACGTTGATCATGATGCTGCCGTCCATCAACTCAACCGGCTGCAGGGAGGCAGAAACAGACGGACAGGGTTCGAAAGAAAGGAGGTGCGTTAGGAAAAGTGATTTGTTTTCCAGAGCATGAAAAATGCTCAAAATCTTCATGGAAATACAGAATATTAATTTGTTTATAGAATAACAAATGGAGACCATCAACAGAGGGTTGAAACCTTGCAGTTGAGGCAATCAAATATTAAGTAAAGCATCATTTATTACAAATAAATATCTAAATATTGTTTGTAAAAGCAAAGTGAATGTGGTCAAAAAGTCTCCAGTAAGGGATAATATTATCCAACACCTACTTTAGTCAGATCTCAAACTTCCTGAGGCTTTTTCCTCAAAAGACAGACTTGAGCACAACCGCTCTTTAACTAGGACAAATGCAGCAAAAGTTTTTGAATTAAGTTCTCATTGTTGCATTGTAAAAACATTTTCTAAACAGCAAAATAAAAAAAACATTCAATTTTAAAAGTTGGGACTTTTTACTTTTATTAAGGCAAACACTTAAGAAACTATGTTGGAACTACAGTAATTCTTTTTTTAAATTGTAATATTGCATGTTTTGATTATTTATTTTCATTTTTAACTCTAGAAAGGAATGATCCAGATTTTGTGCTGGGGGAAACAAATCAACCACTAGGGGTGCTAGATCTCAGATTCAGTTTAACATCAGCAGTTTTTCAGTGACATAACTTTATCTGATATTCCATCCATTTAAATGTACACAAAAACCAAAAACCAAAGAAATTTGGAACTACATACCATACTGCTGAGATACTTGGAGTTTTCTTAATCATAGTTGGAGAAAACAGCATCTTTGTGCTACAAAAAGTACAGCAATAAATACAACAAATATTTACTGGACAGAAACTTACCTGGCACTCATCAGGGTTGAAGTCCTGAGCTTTCTTCGGTTGGTTGTAAGGGATGCTCTTGAGGGCTGCTCCGTTGCGCCACGTCTCTCCATGATCGTCGCTCAGGATGCAAAACACTCCATCCCCCTCAATCGTCCCGTGGCCACACACCACCAACCGCCCCTTTGCAGGATCAAGGCGCTTCTGTAGCGTAAAAGGACACAAAGGGTGCAGAAATTAACAGCTCTTATTGTTGTAGAATGAATGTATCACACAGTTTTTGTCTGAAAAGGGCAGCTAATATCGCTGCAAACTCCACACATCTTGGGCACAAACTGCCAGATAGCTGTTTAGGGCTGCAACATATGATTATTTTTGTAACTTGATTGTTCTGACAATTAATCTAGTAATCGAAAAGAAAAGATGTTATTTAAGATACAATATTGAAAATGCATAATAAAATACAAATAATTCAATTCTGTTTTTAAGTAAGAAAGAAAATACATTATAGCCAAAAAGGCAATAACATAGCATTTCTTTAACTTATGGCTGATAATATGTAGCAAAGGATGCATAATAAAAACAACATAAATATAGATGAGATGCAAAAGCAAGAGAGATTGATTTGGACAACTTCTGTTGGTTTTGCTCTCACTCGCAATAATGTGAGAGAGATGTCTGAATGAGGAACCGCATCAAATTAAATGAAAATGAAAATAAATAAATGTACCTTAAAGGGTGTCAGACTTTCTGTTTTATACTAAATTATAAGATTTCAAGGTCTGTTTTGTAGGGAAAGAGGCAAAGGAGAGAACAAACTCATGAATTATTTTGTTTACAGGTTATAGCAACACAGTGGGTGATAATCCAATGTGCAATGTAAACAGCACTTTCAAAGTCCATCCTTCCTATTTGGACTTTGGACCAGGAATAAAATGTCCTCAAAATACCCAGCTACAGCAACTTCCACAATCACATCCTTCCCTTCGGAGGAGGTCTGAAAAACACATAAAAATAAAGCTATCTTCCTTTGCAACACCATAATTTTACTAGAAATGTAGAACAATTCAAAAACTAAGTAACATAACGGCTATTGTGTCGGATAAAGACGTGCATTGCAAATCATGTATGACAAAGTTTTGTCATATTCGAAAAAGGTAAAGAAATTATTGGTGGGTATACTGGTGTTGTTTGTAATTTAGGAAAAACAAAAAGACAAACATTTTTTTTACATTATTTTCTTTCTTTGGCCCGACACAAAGCGTTGCCCTGTCGAGTATCTGCACCGAAATCCATAAGAAAACAAACAAAATGGAAGCAAATCAAACAAATGATCTGCGTGAAGCCTGCATCACTGAGCAGAAAGATGCTGACAAAGACGATGCAACTCCTGGTAGTGTTTGCAGAGTTGTAATCGGGGAGATAACTTTCACTTCTCTTTGTCCACTAACAGATAACCAAATCACTAAAATGTGTTTTACTGATGTTAGAACAGGTAATCCAAGCAAGACAATAAAATGTTGTTTTGAAAACATAAACGTTTAAAATCAGGCTGGATGGTTTCAGATTTAACATGCAGTTCCTCATTTTGGAAATTGTGTGTCTGCTCTTTGCACACTCTATTTTTAGCTTTAGTTCGCACTTTGAGAAACCAAGTTCCCCCCCCTTTAAAAGTCATTTCAACATAAAACATCCTGGAGACTGTTCAGTCTGACTGTCTCCTGGATTGCAACAAAGTGCCAAGACTATTAATGAGAAAATTGCTTATAACTAAGTGTTGTCATGTGCAAAGAAGTAAAACAACTTTTATTATCAAGTGACTCAGGCTGGGATTCTTTCTTTCACAAAGAGTTGAAGAAACATCTGAGCTGATGCAGAGGGAACGTTTTCATTTCATAAAGAAAGAAGCTGCTGACACCAAATGCAACAGCAAACATCTCACAGGTTTCACATCACTTTTAATGAACTGTTGCAGGCTCAGCTTGTGGGTAATTTTGCTATAAAATCATGTTATCACATGCAGAGTGGTTCACCAGGAAGAGGGATCCAGAAAGCCGGGTTTTCTCACTGCAACCTGATTCAACCTAAAACTGGAGATGACATATTGGTTTGTTTACTCCAGCTCCAGCTTACATGAAAAAATAACTAAATATCAATATTTTACACTTCAACCTAAACATCCAGGCTGAAAATTATGATTCACAAACTGACAATGTCGCAAATTCACTCCGACCAGATCGGATGAATGCCATTACAATAATATATGAATATGACAAGTCTCAGTGGAGCTGCACAACAGCAAACTGAAATGTAAAATTCAGCTTTAATAATCCAGGCGGATGATTTTTTTTTAGAACATTTGCAGCTTGGAAATCGACATAACTTTGCCCACATGAGATGTTTATTGAGGCTTTTAGGGTGATCCCCCCCGACTTGAAACAAGAGCTAATTTTATTTCCTGTTTTATCGTAAACAGAATTAAAAAACAAAAATACCAGAATTGTTCAATGTTTAGCTGCGAAGGAAATGAAATAAACACTGTGGCTCAATCAGGAGCATAATACCTTCCCAATGACTTATAAAATTTTTCTAAAATGAAGCCTTTAACTCTGTGCATGTGATGTGAAAGACATAACAACTGCACTTTTACAATGCAGTTGTAAAAAACGTCATTCAGTTTAAAGTTTAGCTAATTTTACAGTAGAAAATCTTTGTGGTTAAAACTGAGGGACTGTTTTAAATGTGACTGGATTGCAGAAAACATGGCACACCTTCTCTTTTTGAAGGTAATTATGTGCTAAACAGGTTTCTGATGCTGCTTTCCTTGCTGTTGGCACTTTCTGCATCTCCACCATCAGTTATAGTAATACTGTTCAGGAGGAAGCGCCAGTAGTGTTGCCCTGTTTTCATCACCTCATCAGGAGGGTTTCAGTCAAAATGCTGCCATTACAAAGAGTGTAGCATCCTGAAAATAGCTAGCAAGAGCTATGGATTCAACGCAGGCAGCCGACTTACCGGCACCGATTTCCTTTATTTTGGGAGATAGGCTGATACTTACCGATCTTATCTACCTCTGCAAAGGTCTAAAAATCAACCATTGACCTCTTCTGCTCTGCAGTGAGAGAGGTTTGTCTGACAGACCGGCCCTCCACGTCAGGTCTGCAGGTTGACAGTTAACAATATTCACCCCACTCTTACCAACTCTGAAACTTTCTTGCTATATTTAGTGATAATTCAGACAAAAACAATGGTGTTAACCAAAATCTAAAATGGCAAGTCAGGCTTTTTAGAGATCAGTAATCGGCGTTCAACCAGAAAACTGCAATCGGTGCGTCACTGATTCTCAGGTCTCAACCACCTCCTTTTCCCTACGACTTATATTTTATCACATTGAATCCTTCTTCAGTTAAAGTTATCAATATATTTTAGAAAGGACCCCCGAGTCTTATTGAGTCCAACCAGGATTCTTTCATGCTGACCTCTCTATAGAGGTCAAAGTTCACCTACGAAGAATGTTATTCAACCATATCGGGGATCTCTTTCTTACCTGGATGCCGAATCCCGGCCCAGGAGCGAAAGCCTTCACTCCCAGCTGGACCGAGAGGTTTTTGGGTTTGCTCCAGCTCAGGCCGTCGTCCCAGCTCTCCACCATCATGGTGCTAGCCGGCTTGCAGTGGTACAGGTGGAAGCAGACGCTGTAGATCAGAATCACAGAACCGACCTCTTCATCCACAACCACGGAGCCCAGGTTCAAGCCATCCGTAAAGCTGCCGTCGTCCACTATGAAGGAGGTCGGAGACCAGGTGTTTCCTGTAGCACGATGGAAGTGAAACAGACCTCAACTTTCTGGAAACCAAATCCTTCAACGTGACCCAAGAGTCGATCCAAACCCATAAGTATGTGAAGCTTTATTTGATATTTTTCAGTGTTGTGGCCCTGCCTTTGTCAGTGGATCGCCTCACTGCGATAAACTTTGCTCCTATGTCACTGGACGACGACTTCCTTCCCTCGGCGATGGCCAGCAGGCTTCCTTGGGGAGTAAAAGTGATGAGCGGGATTCTGTAGGTGTTCACTTGACCCTGAGCGCCGCTCACCCACAGCAGCTGCTCCTCAAACACCAGAGGGTCAAGCTAAGCAACACAGAAGAGGTGATAAAGACTTAGTGTTGCGGATAATAAGTGCTGACAGCGGGAAATATAAATAGCTTGAATGTTTGAGAGCAGAACAGGTTGAGCCATAAAAAATATCTCTATTATCTGCAGTCTTGTTACAGTCTGTTGAGTGTGTGAAAGGGAAGTACAAAGCAAAGCCTTGAGCAACTTCACCTTCTTTTCTCTGCATTTCTTCACAGCAAACAGGTGAAGAAAACATGATTACACCTGAATAATACTAGAATGTATGTAAATACCTTTTTAATGAGGTTTGCAGTTTAGCATCTGGAATGACTGCGGATATATTATATTATCAGTCTAACAACTCTACTTAAAAAGTTTTTTCTTAAAGGGCAGTAATATATTTTCCAGGTACGTTGTGTCGTTCTATAGCACGATCAAGTAGCTATGTTACCTTTCGCTGTCTTAATATTGCTGAATTTATCATCCATAACAAATTCAATTTGATGCTTCTGTCTCTTTAAGAAGCTCCTTCTCAGGACTGAAGGCTTCGTTCACGCTCTCCGCTGCCGTTGATAAAAAAATAAATAAACAGCGTAGAAAATGAACGTCATCGTTCAGAAGTTCTCTGTTCACTGATTGGCCAGGAATAGAAATCTGAAATGTGAGACTCAGCTGCGCAATGTTCTGCGCAGATAAGAAGATTACACTCTTTGGAAAACATTTCTACAAACTGAGTAGAGTTGATCAAATTCTTTGTGGAATCGATTCAGCAAAATATCAGTAACATTTCTCAGATGATAGCGCCCCATTGTTGCTGCAGGTTTATCGGCTGTGACGCAAGTCTCCACAGAAATTGATCTATTGAATTGAGATCTGGTGATTGTGGAGGCCATTGGAGAACAATACACTATCATGTTCCAGAAACCAGTTTAAAGTGATTTATACTTTGTGACATGGTGCATTATTCTGCTGGAAGCAGCCTTCAGAGGAAGTTATCATGAAGAGATGGAAATGATCAGCAGCAATACTCAAGTAATGCTTAATTAATGCTGAACTGTGTCAATAAAATATCCGCAATGCCTTCACCAGCCTAAACCATTGATATAAGCAGGATAGATCAGTTCTTTATATTATTTTTCCCTCAATTTTACCTATAATAATCTGAATGTTGCCACTGAAATCAAGACTCGCTGGGCCAGGAAAAGTTTTTCCAATCTATTATTGTTCAGATTTGGTGACTTGGTGCCAATTATTGCCAAAGTTTCCCATTCATAGCTGACATAAATGACATGTTACTTTGGCCCTTCTGATTTAAGTTTGCAATGGTATTTAACATACCTTGATTGTATTCAGTGGTTATTTAACCCGTTGTTGCCTTTTATTATTCATTATTTGTAAACCCTACAACCCTTGTAGTTTCTAAATCGCATAACTTCCAGTGTACCTAATAATGTAGCTGGTTAGAGCATATTAACAGATATCTTAAATAGAAAATCAAACAAATAGGAGTAAGAAAGAAGAATATTAATTGACTCCAAGCATCTTTAGCCCCAAATTCGATTTATTCTGAAATTCGCCTCTTGAGATATGAAGATATGAAGTTTTTACCTTGGGAATCCTGTCAGTGAATGTACTGTGTCCATGTACTGTGTCCAAATGCATTTGCATTTAAAAACATATATATATAAAACTGCTAAGGCATTTACTTTCACTTTTGCTCTTCATGTACAACAGCAGGTTCTATAGAATATTTTTAATAGTGCAACGGTTCATTAGTTTGTGTTAAGTGGGAAAAAAGAAAATTTTCAAAAGCATTTCAGCAGATACAAACAACTTGAAATGTTTTCTTTTTTCCAAAAGCTTGTAAAAAATCACGAGTCCAAACCAGCCTTACAAGAAAGTCTGGTTCCTGTCAAAGTTTAACACTTTGTAGATGACATAACCGAACCTCTCCATTTATTAGCGCGGTTTTTCTAGCAGTTATTGCATAATAATGATCGGTTTATAGCAGTGTCAGTGTACCTGAGCCGGGCTGCAGCCACAGAGACGCCCGGACAGCAGCGCGCCGAGCAGGAAGAACCCGGCACAAGTCCAACTTCCGGTTCCCATGTTTGATTCTGGTCCTCCAAGTTTCTTCTTCTTCTTCTTCTTCTTCTTCTTCTTCTTCACTCCGAACAGTTAAAATTAAACAAAACTGGAGCCGAGTGATCAAACAAGCCAACTCACTGACTGGTGCTCATTCTGTGCTGTTTATCCGGGAGGTCATGTGATCAGGAGGTCACGTGACTGTCGCGAGCTGTCAAAATAAAAAGAGGAAATGACGCAATTTACCTTGTCTCCGTTCACTTTTAAGTTTGCATTATTTCCATAAACTAGTGTAATTATTTAAATATTACTGTTACCACAAATAATATAATATTAACAATATTATGAAATAGTAAAATATTAAGGAAATGGTAGAAATGTTCATTTATTATTAGTATTTTTGGACATGATGTAGAGGTGGAAACATGCAGACACTACTGCTATGACTATTATAACTATACCTACCAATCTTGTCATTAATATCAATCCAGATTGCTTTCTATATGTTTGGATCTGGATCCTCCTCTTTTTGTAAATGCAACTGTTTCACAATACAAACCCATAAAAATAATTGTACTAATAATATTCGCAGTTGATATCAGTAGGATGGAGAATTGGTAGGAATCTTAACATGTTATCAACATTATAAAGTAGTGGAAATTCAACATTACTGCTTCTTCTGTTGCCTTCACTATGAAAATCCAAAACCCAAACATTAAGTTGTAGTTTGTCATTGGTCCAATAGTCATATTAATCACCCAATGAATACTGTACAATAAAAGTATTTCTCTCAGTTTTTAATTGATTTGGTTTGTTTTTCAACTTTTAAACAGCAATACTGCAAAGCTGTTTGTGTGCAGTTACCAGAATCCAGCCACAAGGGGGCAGAGCAGCCCAAAAACCCCAAACTGTTGAGCGGATATGAACAGTCTCCAGTTGAACAAGGATTTTTAAATTATATTTTTTAGTTGTCCAATCGCTTGAGGGGTTTTCCTTTGTGTGTGTTGTGTTGATAATCCGTCACACGTTGTGTTTTCTTGTTCCGGAAGTTTAATGTTAGTCTAAGCAGAACATTTGCTCCCAGTGTTTTGGAAAGCAGATTATTTTTCTTTCAATAAAAATCTATTTTCTTACAGGCTTAGTGTACAGCTAACAGTTGCCATGCTAACAGATTTTCCTACCTGAGTTATGGATCTCTGCAGCTCCTCTGGAGTTCCCTCAGCTCTGTGACTAATGCTCACCTTGCCTGGCCTGTCAGGTGGATTTCCATATTTTGGGCCAAAACATTTTCATGAATCAATGAATTCTTTATTACATGACATTTTCTAAATAAAACATAAAAAAACAAAAGCAAAAGATACACTTTTATCAATTTGATTCCTCCTTTACATTAATTTCTTCTGTTTTGAGAGATGCTTGTATCATTTTATCTGGGTTGAAAAACGTAATAATTATTTAATGTCATAAGGCCACGTTAATATTTAGTTTCTAAGATTTTCTGTGTAGTTTGGACTCACTACATAGCATTAATAATACCTTCAGGAAAAAATAAACATGTTGATAAAATTATCTTACACCTAAATTGATCATTTATATGAATTTAGTAAATTTTCTCCTTTTTGGTACTTTTTGACATTGAAATAAAGCAAAATACTATGTGGAATTCACACTTTTTTAAATAAATGATCAAATATTTTCTGGATTAACTTATTTGTCAGATTAAAAGCTCCTTTTGAAAATAATATCTCCTCTTTAAGTCAAATAAATGTGACAAGTTTTACATTTTGAACCCAAATGTGTGAGTTTGCGAAAGATAAGCTGACAGTAGTAAGTTGTGTTAACTTTTCATTAATTTTGTCAAACCTTCAAGAGTTGAATAAACAAGAGTTTAAAAAACTGAAAGAAGAAACAGACAGGGTTGGAAGTATTTCCCAGAATGCTTTGCAGCATGTTTTTGTATCCTGAGGTGGAAGTGTGTTGCATTGACTCTTGTGTTTTATTAATACAAATATTTATTTTAATGCTTGAGGATGATGTCCTGTTCACACTAAATGTTTTAGAGCAGAATTCCTTCTGACTTTTAATAAAATTCATTATTTGATCAGAAATTTTATTCATGCAGTACAAGTTAGTCTAAAGTGAAATAAATAGTTATTTTAACTTGATTATGTGAGTGAAAATAAGAGAGAAATCTCTGCTCTTTAACTAGATGTTTTTTGTTTCCTGCATTTTGTGAAATTATTTGGTTTAAATTGCAGCATTAAGTTAAAACTCACAATTCAAGATTAATGAACTTAAAAACAATGTTCAGACAACTTGTCTCTTGTCGTTAAATCAACTTCATAAACTTTGATTTCTGACTTAAAACCCCAAAAAATCAACTGTCGACTTTAATTGCATTTTGAAGGCAGCAGTTGGACTTTCATTTTCAAGTGAATGTGAAATATTTTAGTAAAAAAAAGACAAAGATATTAAACAACACGAAGTGTCTCAATCACTCACTTATCTTTATGCAGCTCTGCGGTTGGGACACTTCCCATTTATCTATACTTTTGTCTTCAGTGAAAAATATCTGAACTCTTGGCATGACCTCCACTGACTCTTTGGACTTCATGAGTTAATGTGTAACAGCTCCAATAAAACGTCAACAAGCTGACGTTACAAATCCTGATCAAATAAAAGCACTTCATGCATAAAAAGCAATTATTTTGAATCCAGACGTCGTTTTTCGACTGTAGAGGAGTTCAGCTTGGTTTTCTTCTTGCTCCTCCTGCAGACATGAGGATCATAAACCACATTCCTGCAGTCATGAGGCACAGCTGATCTGAGTCACAAGCCACAGAGCGAAAGAGAGGAACAAGCCGAACACGTTCAGACATGAAAAGAGAGAAAAGACGAAGTCCTACCTGGCAGCCAGCTGCTTTCAAGGAACCAGTTTAAAAAGGTTCTTGGCTTCTCAGGAAGAATGACGACGCGGAGGCTCATCGATCAGAAGATGGACTTTCATCTGAGCCACAGGTGGGAAACATTCACTCTTCCTAAAAACAGCATCTCTGGATCCGTAACGCTGGGTTTTGATTCTATTTCTCACCAAAATCCAAGTTTTAATTAAGAAAAAGTTTGAAAATGTTAGCAGACTTCCTTTGTTCAAAGATACACGCCCTAAGAGGCGGTTTTCTAATAAAAAATATGACGTTTAATCCTTTGAATGTTACTCACAATATTCAAGTTCAGTTTATATTAGCAGGAAACGTTTTTGGTGTCATGTTTACAGCAGCGCCACACACAGCAAGATGCTGCTTCCAGATAGTGACGTTTTTACTGGTAATTCGGTCTGTGTGGTAACAAAACACTCAGCATGCTGCTTAAGATAAGACAAGCTCTTTATGCATGCACACAATGTGCACCATCAGGCGATCGGAGCTTTATGTCAGCAGATCTCCATTAACGAGGAAGTGAAAATGAAAGAAACTCGAGAAGGAGGGGTTGTGTTTTCACACCTCTGTGCTGAAAATGTGTCAGAACCGCCGATGGAGGGAGAAGTTGGGTCTGTAAGTGGGATTTTCACCTGATTCTGTTATTAACACAAACACAACTCCAAACAGTTTCTAAAGAAGAAGGAGGAGGAGGAGAGGTCTGAGAATTAGAGCAGGAAGTTTTAGTGTCACTAGAGTAAATGTCATATGGATCCAAAAGCAGAAGTAACCGGGTGTCCTGCTGTTTGTCATGCTTCTTGCCTTTTAAGTGAATAGCCGACGTGTTTATGAGAGATAAAACCTCAGGCTGTTTTCAAAGCCTTTCTGACATAAAGGTTCCGCTTTTTTCAACCATGACATGCTGAAAGTTTTCCGCTTCACGTATCGACCCAGAACAGCTCATGGCACCGGCTGTGAAGGCTGAAGCAGCTTTTCAGAAACCGGTTAAAACTTAGCACTGGTCCGAAACACTGCCGGGGGTTTTTCAACTGTTTCAGGGTCATTTTGATGAGCTGAACCTAAAAGTCACATTGGTTTTACTCCATCGGGTCATTTTCTGAACTATGGAGCAACATGGGCATCAAAATGCATGACTTGTTCTCACATCTGGATGTTTCCTGAGAATCTGGGATGAATGAGTGATGAGCAAGAGGACAGATGAAGAAAGTTCAATTTGTATGTACTTACCCTTATCCGTGTTTATTATTCAATTTACAGAAATCCAAGTTTGTATTATTTAATTAATACACTTTGTTAGAAAACAAAAAAAAAAGTTTCGGATGACAAATATTAACAGAAATGAACTGATAATGTCACAAAAATGTCATAAATTTAGTCAGAAGATCAGATTTCTCTAAATCAAAGAATAAAAACATGATCTGATTGAGGAAAAATGGACGTCATTTTTGGATTAAGCGTTGCAAAAATAATCCTAATTCAGATGAAAAAACATAGAAAACCATTTCCAAAAGCTTTTTTGTTGTTGTAACCAAGTGTTATTTAATGGTGTTAATTATGCAGAGTTAGTCAAAACTGCAGTTTTCACCCATTAGTTCACCAATATTCACTTTATGACCTGTGATATTTGATAAAACAGGTTTTATCGAATGTAAAACCTGTTTAATGCAAATGATAAGTCTGCAGTAAATGGAAGAGGATTGCTTTAAAACTCTTTAACACAGAAATAAAGACAGTTATTTCAAAAATTGTCTCATTAAAATATATTTTAAATTACTCCATACAATAAGAATTATACAAAACATATAAATCCATTGTTTTAATTGTACGTTCTTTCTATTCTTGCTCATTTTCTTTCACCAGTAAAGCTACTGGCTTCAGAGTTAGTGGCGGCCATTTTCAAACTGTTTTTGCTCCAACTTAAATCATTATTTTAAAATGTTTTGAACAATTTCGAGTGCATATTAACACTTTTTATACCAGTTAAATTCTCTCAGCCAAATGTTTTTGATCTTCACTCACTTTATTCAACAGCTAAGCTCTTAGCTTTTGCATCAGCTAGTTCACTTTGTAAAAGTAAACTCTTTTCTTACTTTTAGCTATTTGCTGTTAGACGTTGTCCTGCCATTTCATCATGACGGCATCCAGTCATTTTTATTTTTATTTTCAGCATATATTACTGTTTTCCAGCTGCTGACCTTTATTGCCCTGAACATTTTGGCATTTTTTATTTGCTAGTTTTCTGTAACCTTCTGTGTTTCAAGTGAACAATCTTAAAAGATATTTCAACTTTGGTTTGAATCAGTGCTTCTCAATTATTTTCCGTTACGCCCCCCTAGCAAGAAGAAAACTATTCGCGCCCCCCACTCCCCACTGTGACTATCCATCTCTGCATAACATTTTTTCCTAATTAACATTTTTTTCGCTGAAAAAACTCTAGCGGCTTATCGGCGTGATTGGGATGTAACGTATTTTAAGTGACGCGCTAATTTATTTGGCTTCATGCTGTCCGCTGCGAGCATTTTTGGACACAGCAAACACACCGGTCTTTCCTCTTCTCCAACTGTAGTCACAGTGAAGCCAAGCGCTAAATACGCTTGTCGTATTTCCTCTTCCTAGCTTCGGTTGACTTTCTGTTGTCTCATTATCTTTGTCTCTCTCCGCTTTTCTTTTCATCCCTGTGAAAACTTTTTCATGTTGGGGGTTGTTGAATAACGGAGGCCATAGACAGAACGCAGTCTGAGCTTTTTGTTGACTTAACACTGCTAACCAAGGCAAACCTGTTGTCTTGTAAGTCGTAAAATGTTGCACTGTCGCAAACGTGACAGACGTAACAATGAGAGCGCCACTGCCGCCTACTGTGCGCAATTACACTTTATACTAGTTCGGCCAAAAAAAAGCCTGTTCCCCAGGATCACACGCCCCCCCAGGTATCGCACCGCGCCCCCCAAAGGGGGCCCGCCCCACTATTTGAGAAGCACTGGTTTGAATGTTGTTTAAAAAGAAACACTAAAATATGTTTATGTAATGACTTTGTTTATAAAGCTACTGTCACATTAACAAGGAAAATCCCCAGAATAAAGATAATTCTGGGGTTTTTTCTGGACCAGTTAAAGTTTCAAGATTTTATTTTTATTTTTTGTTCAGGACCTTGTGACCTTTGACCTAATGGAGGACAGGAATGGGGAATGCCAGGCGTCGGAGGAGACTACAGTGGACTCTGAAATCAGACGAACCCAAACGGATCAACAGACGGACAACCACAGGTCCAAATGGACAAACGGTACCGAAATGCTGCTTTTATTCTTTTAAGATCAAAGGAATATCTAGAATTTATTACGACTTATGTTGCATTCAGATAAAATTTATGTTCATTCATCAAATATCTGTCAATGGGTGGCGTCATTTCACGTCATTGCGTCAGTTTGATTTTTTTTCTGTCAAATACAAATATTCTTGCTTAATGTCCTTCATCAAAAAATTGTTTCGAAGGGCCGATTGTGCCAGAATGTATCGATAAAACCATTAAACTGTTAAAAAGTGGAAAAACAGCTGCTTGTTTGTGTTTTTTTAAATTAAGTACTGAATGTCTCTTTACACAGATGAGTCCCAGAAGGATTTTCTGATTGTTTTTTCAAAATAACAGATTCTGTAGTGCTACTTTAGAAATATTTGTGATAAGAAATCTTAATATTTGCGCTAAACTGTGAGGTCAAAGGCGACTTTTTATAACTTGTCTTATTAGTTAAGGATTATAACATGATATCTAGTTAAGGCTCAGGGAACAGTCACTTAAGCCGAAGGTTTTTGACCAATTTTGAGAAAAATTTGCAGTAAAATCAGGATTTATTTTATTTTTTTTTTTTTAGCTTTGTTGATTTTGTGTGAATTTAATTGATGTAATTTGGAGTCTAAAAACTGTACATAAAACTGTATGGCGGGCCAGACTTGGCCCCCGAGCCTTGAGTTTGACACATGTGCTTTATAATCTTTTCTTTTTGCCTCTGGCAGGTCAGTGTGTCGCGGCGATCCCGACCAGTTCAACGCTGAACCCCAGATTTGATCTGGATCTCTGCCGATCCAAACTGGAGCAGGAAGGATTTGAGGTTAGGCGAAACATTTTACAGTGAATCACAGGGATTTTATTTAATTTACATTATTTTGACTGTATGTTTAATCAGATTCCTGTGAGAGACCTGGAAGATCCACTGAAAACAGCTCTGGATGTCCCTTCAATCAGAAGATACATGGTTTTCAACTCGGGCCTTTTCCACTTTGTTTTAGCGCCGGTAACTCTCTCTCTGCTTCTTCATTTTCACTTCTTTAACCACTTTGGGTTTTTTTCAGTCTTCCTTATTAACTTATTTCTGTGTAGACAAAGGAAGCGAGCGTTTCCTTCTTTCATCAGGTCACAAAAACTACTTGTGTAACTCCCAACACTGCAATGAACATAGTGAGTTTGTCTTGTAGATTATGCTAACAAATTAACAGAAAAATAAATAAATACAGTGCTGTATTAATTATCTCATCAAATGATCTGGTTGGCATTTAACAAAAGAGTCACTCTCTGCAAAAACACCAAATCTTACCGAGCATTTTAGTCCAGTTTCTAGTGCAAATATCTTAAGAGATGTGAAATTAGACAAAAGTAACTTATCAGCATGATAAGTTCAACTTATCATGCTGATAAGTAAAGCACCTGGTGGTGCTTTACTTATATTGAAGAATTAATATTTAATTCTTCAATATTAATTTAAAATTTAAAAAAAGTTACTTTGGGAGATAAATTTATTTATACAAGACATTTTTCTGATGTTTTTAGTAAAATAATCTGTCAGTAAAAAGATACTTTTAGGTTAGTTTTGTCTTATTTAAAGGTTAGGAAGACATTTGGAACTAGGTTTCTAGATTTTGTGTTTTTGTAAACATCAGTCGGTGCTTTGTGGAACCTTTGTTTTTTTTGTTTTGCTGCATTTAAGCTTTTTGATCTAAAGTTGGACATTTGTCTTTGCTTAATTGCTCAGTCAACTAGAGGCACACTGTCAACATCAGTTTTGAAGTTTGCTACAAATTCTTTAGTTTTGGACTTTGACTAGACCAGGGGTTGCCAAACGTCGGCCCCCTGGTTGCAATTCTCCGTCTCCACATGTTATAATTTAAGTAATCAGTAAATGACATTATGAGTAAATGACAGTTTGAGTATATATTAGGAAAAAACTTGCCATTGGATCATTCTTTAGAGATATATATCGATGGATATACTTTATTTTTGAATCTTTTGCTCCCACCAGGTGCTTTATGTGGTGCTGTGGTGTGCAGTTTTCTCAACCCTCCACCTGTACATCACCGTTGCCAACTACTGGGTCCTCGTTCTGTCCGTCAGCCTGGTCTCCATCCTCCTCACCACCGCCATCATCTACATTCTCCATCACAGTAACAAAGAAGTAAAGCATCGCATTACATTCCAACACACAACTGGCCACGTTTGTATTCATAAACAAACTACATTTCCTCTCTTCGATCAGATCAATATCAACATCGACGTTCGGTTGATCCAGGTGAATGAGAGGATGATGAAACATAAATTGATGGTGGGTGTTGCCGACTGGATCCAGAACTGCACCGGACACATGCAGGTACTTATCCAAAATCTGAAAATGTGTTTTCATTTTTGTCCCAAATCAAACAAAATCGTTAAAGTCACAAACTTTTTCATTTCATTATCCAGTGACCCACTTTTCAAACCTTCAGACAATGCTACAAAATATGTAAAGAAAAATTAACTTTTTGAACGTTTTCCTCACCTTTATTTACCATTTGGCATAAATGTTGTCTCATACCTACTTTTTCATCAGTATAAAGAAATTATTCACTTAAAACAAGCTTTTATATCTTTCTGATTAGTTAGTTTTGTCTTATTTCAAGTGTAGTAAGATATTTGACTAAATTAAATAAATTTTTCACTGCACAACTATGTACAGCAAGGTATTGCTCTGTCACATACAATCCCTAGAAAAACACACTGAAGTTTGTTGCTCTAACATGACAAAATGTCAAACAGATGAAGTTTTATAAAGTCACAGATTCACCCCAGTTGATCTTTGTGATGTTGTTTACCAAGCCAGATCCAGATCACAGGTTGTTTGTGTGTCTCTGCAGCTGTACGTCGTGTACTGGGACACGGCTCGCTGCTTGAGGACGCTGTGTGAAACTTTAGAGGAGCGCAGCTACGTGACAAATGAAACCCAGGTGAGTCGACTGCAAGTGTCGCTGTTTGTCCTCCTGCTGTTTGATTGACTTTACTGAAGCGCCCTCATTCATTTGACATAGAAATGTAACTCCAGACGCTTGGGAGGCCGTGTTTTTCTCAGTTTAAGCCTAAATTTGAGGGTGTTGGGTACTTGTGGTTTCCAGTGTTGTGTCAGAACAATCAGATCAGTCTCTCTCCTCAGAAAACCATGAAGAGCAGAATGTCACATCTCGTCTTGGTGACGGAGCTCCCTCCCGTCAACCCCGAGGCCGGCGGTTCAGACGTCGAGCAAGACTGTGATGAAAACAGACCTCTGCTGGGAAATGAGGACACAGGGCGCAGTACGCCACGCAGCCAGCAGGGGGACGCAAAGGTCACCTCTAACTACAGCCTTGTTCCTGCAGCTTCACTACCTGCTCAGGTGAGATGAGTGTCTGTATGTGGATATTTCAATCAACAAATCCTGTTTGTAAGAAAAACAGGTTTGATCAGGTTCTGAGGCTCTGTTTGGTACAAATTAAGGTATTAACCCTTTGACTAGAAAGCTATCTCAAAACCATTTATTGTGGATCTTGTGGATTCTTATGTTATAAATACACACATAGAATACACTATGATGCCAACTACTGGCCATCCACTGCCAGTGCAAGAAAATGTTTGTTCAATCCAACATGGCAGACAGACAAAAAAATCAACTCAGGATTATCCAGTCTTGTAGACATCAAGTAACCCCTAAACACCAGATAACAACTTTGTATTTGAAAAAAATTATTTCTACTAAAAAAAGATTCCCACTTTTTTTATGCCTTAAGAAAATCAAAAACACTTTGGAAAAACTGAAACTTTTTCTCTGAAATGTTGCTAAATATAACAAGAAAGTTGCTGAGTTGGCTATTGGTAACTACAAACATGGCGACATGTTCTGGTGGGCCAGTGTGTCAGTCAAACCTCTCTCACAGCAGAGGGGTTGAAGAGGCCTAATTATGCAGCATTTTAGGGAACTATTTCGGTCCAAAATCAACACAATCAAGGTCAGAGGAGGCCGACATTAAGCTCTCTGGTTACAATAATTAGGTTTGTTTGGAGATGTTTAGGTGATACCGTACAAAGCTAGCTGTGAAGCAAGGCAGTGGCAGAACCTGGGCTTGGAAGGTTATTTTGCTGCCAATACTTACAGATCGTTGTATAAAGAAGTTGAAATAACGCAGAAAGATTACCTTCTGATTGTCTAATTTCCCCTCTGGTGACCTTTGAACTTTGCTCTATTCTTTCAGGCCAAAGCCTACCAACTTCTGATGACCTACAGTGCAGCGTATGTGAAGCTGCTCATGTCTGAGAGGCTGCCGGGTCCGTCCCGTCAGCGCCTGTGGCCCCTGAGGAGCCACTGCGCCACGGCTCCGGTCTGCCTCTGCCAGTACATTAAAACCAAAGTCCTTCAATAAAAAAGAAAACTGAAGGCAAACAGACAAACGAACAGGATTTATCCTTCTGGAGCCAACGTGGATTTAAGTTACGCTGATCCGCTGATGGACTCGTTTGGACCGCAACACTCTGTATTTTGTTATTGGTGGTTTTTCTCTTCATCCAGCTTGTTTTATTTTTACTTGCTTCGCTTCTGATTTTCTGCCAGCTCTGTGTTTGCACCACCTGGGTGTTTATTTGTTCACATTCAGCCAAATGCTGTCAGCAATCAGCCCAACTGCTGGCAAACAATATTTATAATGGTTTATACATGACACATGACAATCACCACTATATTTACTATCTAGAGTTGTTTCAATTATTTATACAAATGATAATTACACTGCAGAGCTGTTAGATTTAATGTGCTGTGTGAAGAAAGCGTTTCTGTGCTGTGCCCTTTAGTTGAAAAGGAATGAATGGATACGGTGTTTATCACATTGATTCAAACGTGAACTCTTGATAAAATGGAGAAAATAAAGTATACCCACTTTCAATTTGGGCTTTTATGCATCAGGACATAATAAATATTATCTGGTTTTTAGTATTTAGAATATTTTGGTTCAATGTTCCCTGGAATGTAACAGAAACATTTTTTTTCTAAAATGCAGCTTTATCTCTATTCTCCATCTTAAAGTTACGGTATTTATTTTTTTAAAATAAAACATATCTTTTACATATTTGCTAAAACCTGTCACCATATTGTGAAAGTGTAATATGAGACAGAAAATCTTTGAAAAGACCAAACACCTCCACCTCTTCTCTGAGCTGTGATTGTCGTCTGAAGAAATGTGCCGCTCCCAAGCAAAAAGAGCCAATCAGAGCCAGGGGGCTGGCCTTACCGCTGTCAATCATTCTCATGTACGCTGTAAATGTGTTAATGATGAAGAAACAACAGGAAAACCATCAATCTGCCGTAATTGGTGGCCATGCTAACTAGCTTTGTCATTCATCACATCTTACACTGTGCTATAAGGATGAGCAGGTGCATGCAAGAGTGATTAACGGCGCTAAGACCCGCCTCCTGGCTCTGATTGGTTGTTTCTAGTTTGCACTGGGAGAAGGCAAAGCAGCTAAATATTTTTCACATATTATCTGTCTCATAACACAGTCATGAAAAGGTGAGTTCCACCAAATATGTATAAAAATATTTTTGTAAAAATTACATTCTGCAGCTTTGAAGTCCAAATGGCAACCTTGTAGTGCAGATATCAGAGGCTGAAACTTCACCCTATATATATATCTCCCAAAAATTAAGATTAGCTTAAAAAAATGTTTATATTTTGTTATTTTTAAACAGACGGATAGGGTTTCTAGTTTAAAAAAAGAGAGAGAAAAAACCCACCTTGCGTTGGATTAAAAAAGAGATTAGAGAGAAAATAAGAGGGAGTGGAGCCAACCTGTGTCTGTGAGATCACAGATGGCCATTTAGCTTCCTGAAGAGAAGCGGTGTCTCTGAGATCGTTTAGCTTGGCCTCAAGCTGCAAGCCTCCGTCTTCCATCACAGAGTCTCGGCCTCCCCTGGGTCACGATGGCTCACTGTGTGTGTTTGTGTCATCCTGCTGCACCACGCCGGGCTGCAGCATCGGGCCTGGGTGATGGATGGGGTTTCAGAAAGCTGGGTACAAAATATCTGCGCTTGTTGAACTGAAACTGGTGACTTACAGTCATCGCAAATCTGGCCGAGCCGCTTTAGTCTAGTTTCTGGTGCAAAGACCTTACTACACTTTAAATAAGACAAAACTAACATAGAAGATATGGAAGCTTGTTTTAAGTAAATAATTCCTCAATACTGATGAAGAAGTTCCAGTTCCACTGACAGATTATTTCACTAAAAACATGAGGAAAATGTTTTGTATAAATACTTTTATCTGCCAAAGTAACTAGTACATTTTTTAATCAATATTAAGGAATTATTGACTTTAATCAAGCCTCTATTTCTTGGTGATAAGTTACTTTTGAGTTAGTTTGCCTTATTTCAAGTGTACAAAGTTATTTGAACTAGAAACTAGACAAAAATACTTAAGATTGTGTTTTTTCGAGTGTGTTTCTTGGCATTTATGATAAAAAGAAATGTGTTAAGAGGTTTAAAGTAAATTAATCTTTTTAACCTTATGGAAAAAATGTCCTGCTATAAGTGAAATAATCTGCCAATTGAACTAGTAGTTAGTTTTGTCTTATTTCAACTATGCTGAGATTCTCACAATAGAAACTAAGCAAAAATACTTGATAAGTTTTTGTTTTTGCAGCATAAGGTGAAAACACATCTCCAATTGTAGCAAATGAAGCTTTTTAGCTCTATAAACTGAAAACTTCAGCAAGATGATGGACATTTTAGGTTCCAATTTATTCCATTGGATTTTTTTTTATTATAATGTTCTTCCATACCTAAAACTGAAATGACTAATTCAAAGAAAATATCCCAGGTGTCATTTTAAGTGTTTGACGTTTCATTTTGTTAAACATCCCACAAATAAAGAGGTGTGCTGCATCACACTTCCATGTTTTTTTCAATTGCGATATTAAAAGAGATCTGTTAGCTTGTGCTGGTAAATGGAAAATTTAATGAGCTGTTAGGGGTTTGGGGGGTTATGAATGTGTTTGCCCAAGGCCCCAAATAGGACAAAAAAATGTCCTGGGAATAATACTGACTATCGTTGTTTAATGAAATTGCTTTTGGAGCCATTTAAAGCAGCTAATCTTCCACAGAAACAACAAAATCCAATCATTTAAATTCTACAGTGGAAAGATTTGGGGGAAGATAATTATCTTTTCTGTGGCGCAGAAATGTCAGCAGCTGCAAAACAAATAGCCACAGACCTCCTGTGATTAAACACAAGATTGTGAGAGCTTCTGTGTATCATTCAGCGACAGAGAAGGGAGGAAGAAAAACCGGGGCAACTATAAATAGCATCCCAGTGATGAGGGAAGAGTTGAGATGCCACAGAGACAGAGGATGGAGAGGTGATGCAGAAACCAGGAACCAAACATTTTGTTCACAAACCAGAATTATTCTTTTATTCATTACTCAAACAACTGAACTCAGAAACAACCATCGCATGTGCAACACAGACCGAAACATGAGAATAATAAACCCCCACGTTTACACAGGTAGTTTTTGGCTCATTGAACAAGCAACCCCTTAAAAACTCAAGATAATGAAATAAACAGGGAGTCATCTCTGAGCTGCAGTTACTGAAAAGCACAAAGGGAGATGCAGCCTAATGCCACATAACAGAAGTCTCTATATTCAGCAGACACACACTCACCGCCAAAGCCTTCTTTACAATAATAATAATAATACTAAACAGCACTGTGCCTCAATTACGCTGGAACACTGAATATCATTGTCTGTATATAATAGCAGGGCCTGAATTTATCAAACAGGAAAACATGGAAAATGGATAAAATGCATAAAGATAAAAATGTACAACTGTTCACTATAACTTTAATCAATACAATATAAATCTGAGACTTTCAGAGGTATATTTTATTTGGCTTTCTTGCAGTGATGCGTTGCTAAGCTAATGTAGCTTCAGCTGTTAGCTTCAGCACCAGCTAGTCATCTATCAAAATGGATAAAATAAAACTGCTAGCTCTAATGTGCTGACCAAAACATAATATATTTCAAATATGTACAAAGATTAAAACAAAACAAATCGGTGAGAGAAGTTAAAAACCGTTTGAGACAGTAAGGCTAGCCTGAGCTAACCTTAGCTAGGCTAACATATACAGGCTCAATTTGACAGCGACCTTATGGTTTTTTGTGCAACCAAAAATAATTTACAAAGAGAAAATTCACACAAATGACCCATTCAGTCAGAGTAACGTCTAAGCAAAGTCAGGGACAATTTAGGTGTTGTCTAATTTAATTTAATGACAAACCTGTAGCAATTTGTCACTGTAAAATATCTTTTTTTAAAGTAAATAAATTGAGGAAAAAAAGTAGATGGTAACTTTCAGTTTATTTCTACATTTCCTTCCCCGTGCACATTAGCATGCTAAAACTATTAGCATGCTCTGTACAACAGTCTGTCATGCTAACAATACAGTGCAAGTTAATTCAAACACCTACTGTCCGACCCATAGGGTGAATATACTGATATAGTGCTTCGAAAAGTATTTCCCCATTTTATTTTAGCCTTTTATTGCATTTAAATAATTAATATTAATCAAATAACTTATAATATCGGAGTGAATAGACATAATAAAAAGAATTATGATTTCATTTAGAAGGGAAAAAATGTTCAAACTAATGTGAAAAAGTAATTGTCTCCTATAAACCTAATAATTTTATTTATGATGACTAGAAATGACTAAAAATATCATCCAAATAAGTAGCTAGCAAAGACAATTTATGACACTTGTAAAAGAAAATAATTTAAACATAAACGCACAAGTGATTTTACAAAAGAATAATATTTCATTTTTAAAAATTACAGTACAGCTTCAGGCTAAATTCTTGTTTCTGATTAATAAATGAAGGCCCAGATGTTCCCAGATATACAGAAAATAACACATCGCCATTAATAATACTCTTATTACAAACTACAGCATATATCTTTTTTTAAATACTGTCTGTAAATTTAAATAACTATATTATTTTTTAAAGTATCATCATCGAAGGGAGAAGCAGAGAAATAATGCGGAGCAGAAGAGATATGTAATAGGTCCATTTATCATTAAATAGGAAAACACAGGGAGGGATAAAGTTTTCATAGAGCAGAAAGTGCTACAACACAATGTAGGCATTAATATGTCCTCTCTTTTACTTGAAACATTCATTTCATATCCCTAAGATAAAAGTTCATAGAGCGACTTCACAGCCACGATACCTCTCAGAGACAACAGCCCAGCTGCTGTTCAGAGCTACATTGTAGAAACGCACACATCTATCCTTAATACTTAGGACAAATGGAAACAAACTGAGGATGACATGCAGGGTTGTTACCTCATATGTCTACTGCTGTACTAAGAACAGAGTTTTAGAGGGTAAATATTAGCTCTGCCACAGAAAAAAAGGCTAAAACTCATCTAAATTACTTGCAAAAAGAATATCTGCAGATCTAATCTGTATATTCTTCCTATCTATGTCTCCGTTTCTTGTTTTTTTTTTTTTTTTTGGAGTAGCTTGTTTACCACTTTGGAAAATACTGCATCACAAACCCATTGAATATTTTAGGAAATGTTCCCATCAGCAGCTGGGAGCACAGCTACTTTTGCACTAAAAGCCCATTAGCCTAGATTTATATTCATCATGCACTATAAGATCTATAAATGTAAACAGCTGTGTCATTTTATCTGGTTACTACAAAGTGCAATATCATCATCATTACCATCACGAGGTACTAACGGTAAGCCAATTCAGAGTATCAGGTAGCTGCAACAACTCACTACAAATTACAGCAGACAAGATTGATGCAAGGGTCAGTGTTAAATAAATTAGAAAATAAATAACAAATAAAGTAGAAAACATAATTTATAGTAGTGCTATCTCATCTGGCATTTAATATGGAAATTAAAGCAAAGTTTGCTGACAGCTCACATCAGAAAGTATTCACAACTTATTTTTTTCTCCACATTTTGTCACATATTTAGCCAAAAACCAAACTAAATATGGTTTACTTTATAAAAACTAACATTAAGAACCAAAATAAGGGGGAAACAAAATTTTAGACATATTGGAGAGTTTATCAAATGTGCATTTTGTGATGAGAAACAACATTCTCTGGTCAGATGACACTGAAATTACATTTTTTATAGTCATGTCTGGACAAAAACAGCAACTGATAATCACACCATCCTACCAACACAGTTGAAGCTAATGTTAAATTACTAACTTCTATTCAAATTATATCGGCCCTTTAGCACCAATTTAATATTAACACTATGTTTGACATATTCTACAACACTTTTGTGTTTATATCTCGTTCTCCTCTGTCCGTTTTGGTTTATTTATGTAGCTTCTTGTTTTAAATCAATTAAAACGGGGGAAAAAAGAGACAGTCAGGAGAGGAAACGGTGTTTTGTCATAGTAGCACACATGTAGTGAGTACGCATGCGTGCACATGCGCATTAAGACGTCCGCGGCATTTACAGTAGCTATCAGTTCAGCTAATACACGACAAAATACAACCAAAAAATGATGCAATAAATAGTTTTAAATGATGAGTAGATGGATAAATCTGGTTTCTAAGTGTATTTTCTAGCCGCAGCTGCAGTCAACTACAAAAGACGCCCCGTATAAAACTCGCCTCCTTGTTTATTGACGATGATCTGACTGGTTAGCCGCTAAGTCAGGATGTCTAACAGCTGTTAATGACAAAGTATATGACGACCTAACTTCTGGCTGCTGATTAAATATAAGCTTGTGGTAATAATGCTTTTATTAAAGCCTTATAAGCCTATTAACCTAGATTTATATTCTGTCTAAACAGTTTTCTTCCACTCGGTCGGAAAATGAAGTTAAAGTGCCCACTGTCGCCACCTAGTGGTATCAAAATAAATATTTAAAATTACAAAAGTCTTGTATTTTTTTCCACATAAATGAGTCACTTTGAGAATATTTAACAAATTAATGCATGAACAATGTTCACTCACTTCAAAATAAGAGCATCAATACTAATACTTGACCAGTCTGTAACCAAACTTCAACACTGATGTTGAATTTTATCCAACTGAACCTTCACAAAACAGACAACCAATGTGCTTTAAAATATATCCGGAAATATAAAAATTATCTATGCTATTAGTCTGTTAGCAGAAGTGTGCCCACCAATAGTTCTTAAACTGCTAAAATGTCCAACCAGATTTAAATCCAAGACGTCGAGTCATCGTGCCTATCCACCTTCACTTGCCTCAAGAGAATTTACAGAGAAGAAAGAAGAAAATACACAAAAAAACAAAGCTTGTAGAGGAGTCACTAGGAGTTGAAGGTTTGTTAGTGTTGCAGGGTATAGTACTCAGTTGATCTTGTTAATATTAGATCTAATTGTTTTGATTATCTGCTTTTATTTAGTTTGGTTTGGGGTATGCAAGGTATGTAGTTGGGTCCTTGGTCTGAACCCAACTATATTTTGATTATGGCCTTTGCGCCACAATCAAAAAAGTCCACTAGGCTCTTCTCTTCTCTACACTTAATACAAGAGTAAGTGAAAGCGCACTGATTTCATCTTGTGATCATTTCTTACATTTGGTCTTTTAAAAGGGCTATTATTAGCTGCCAAAGGTGATTAAAACTAAAATTAAGCTACAGATCTGAATATATATCTACTTACTACTTTAATTTTTTAACATTTATTGTTTCAATTTACAAAAATGACTGAAAACTTGTATTCATCTTGTCATTGTAGGCTATCTGGTGTTGCTCTGTGACTTCGTATTTTTGTGTTTGTATGATGTAAAGCACTTTAAGCTGCCCTTGTTGCTGAAATGTGCTATAAAAAGAAAGAAAGAAAAAAAACAACGATACCAAAATTTATAAATAAATAAATAAAAAATAGAAAAAGTGATGAGGTGTGAATACTTTCTGGTGATACTGCATGTTGGGCCTCATGTGTCTTGATCAGGCTGGCGCTCACACTGGGTCAATGCAACCAGTTATAAATCTTAGTTGGAACACAAATGAGTATCATTTTAAATTATCCAGCTCATCTGAGACCCGTATGGGTCCCGATTATTACCCAGAGTTGAACTGTCTCTCACCCATTTAGAGGAAATATTACATAACCAAAGGACACAGCATCTGAGACCCATTATTTAATTACTGGAATGGGTCCCATGCATAACGATAGTCGTATAAATCCATCTTCACAAATTAGTGCCTTGTGGAGCAGAAAACCTTTATAAAAACAAAGAAAAACTATTTCATGCTCCAAAAATGATGCATTATGCAGTGCATTTGTCTGACTTACACTGCAAAAACACAAAATCCTACCAGGTATTTTTGGGGAAGTTTCTTCTGCAAATTACAGAAAATATTCATCAAGACATAGGAGCTTGTTTTAAGTCAATAATTCCTTAGTGTTGATCTCATTGGCAGGTTGTGACAAAAATGTCTTCCTAAAAGGTTAATAATATAATAATGCAACTAGTCACTTTTCATCAAAATTAAGAAATTGTTTAGAATTTTATATACTGAAAACTCACCTGAGTGGAGTTGCTTTTTAACCAAAATTAAAGAAACACTAACCAACATTTTGATTTGTAATGACTTGGCAAAATGTAATGTTGAGATTGTTGCTCTATGACTTCATATTTTTGTCTTTGTATAATGTAAAGCACTTTCAGCTGCCTTGTTGCTGAAATGTGCTACACACATATGCTTGAATGATTAAAACACGCCCATACATCTTATTAAAAAGTTACTTTTAAGTTAGTTTTCTCTTATTTAAAGCGTACTAAGATATTCACAGTAGAAACGAGACCAAACATACTTGGATTTAGTGTTCTGCAGTGTAATAAAGGACCGTTGTGAGTCGGTTGTTGAAATATTAAACACACAGTGACTTACAGTTTGTTACCTGACTGCATCAATTAGCAGCAGACAAATGGATCGCAAACACAAGAAGGTTTGTCTTCATCCTGCGGCTCATACTTTTAATATGAAAGCAAATATTAAGTGGTCATTCTGGACCTATTTAACAACCGCTTGCTATTTTTGGTCATTGGTGGGTGTTTGAAAGAAGCAGGTTAGGTCTTTAAACTGTGTGGGTAGCTGTACAGAAAGGGCCGACAAGCAGAAGCAGTGCATTTTCCTTCCCCCCCTCCTCACCAAGCGATTGACAGTAGTTAGATAGATAATATTTAGATGGTCTGGCTGGGAAAGCGGGACCAGTTAGGGGTCCCAGTCGTCGTCATGATGCTGCGAGGCTATGATGACTACCACGGTGAGGATGGTGCAGAGCACCAGCGAGGCGATGCCCACGGCCAGGCTGATGAAGGAGAAGTTGCGGGCCTCACGGGACGCTATTTCTGCAGTCACCATGTCCCCTCGGGCTATCGCCATGCGCACCTGAGCAGTGGACAGAAAAAGAGAGGCGAAATGAGCGAAACACGTTGCATAACGAGACGGTGCATGAGTGGGAGCAGGACAGCAGCATGTATGGATCGATTTCACTGCAGCGCAGGCTGCATGTGCAGGAAGAGGCCGCTGCATGCAACACAAACACAAAACACGCAGCAGCGGCTTCACAGAAATTTTGCTGCGGGGCAATCACTTATTCAGGGAGGGGGCACAGTGAAAAGGTATTTGATTTAATATAAACCAACATATAACTTTCAAATACAATACCCATTTTGCTTATTAATACAAAAACCAAATAAAAAATGCTGAGCGATTATGCTAAGACTTTCATAAACATTAGATCATCAGTTGCAGAAATCTAAGAATCTAATGTTTCCAGTTCCTGAAGTTTATAATATTACTATTACTATTATTAGTGCTATTAAAAGTGCAGTGCTGTAAAACTACTTCTATACAGTCCCGGATCCACAGGAATTTTGGCTCATTTTGGTGGAGAAGGTAGAGTAAAACTGGCATTTCACTTAATATAAATGGATAAACATATAGCTGTCAAATAAAACATTCATTTTGCTTATTAATACAAAAACTACTGATGTAAACAGTGACAAGTACAAAATGTTGAGTAATTCTGCTCAGATTTGTATCAATATTATCTCAAATGTCACAAAAAAATCTAATGTTTCCAATCTCTGAAGTCTATTTCTACCTAAATCTGATCTCTGCATCTGGCTATTTTTGTTTATTTTAGCTGTAAAAAAAATACAGAAAATGTTCTAGGAGGGAATGATTTCACTAATTTCTCCAGAAATCATGGATATTTTAATGTGTATCAGTTATTCACAATTCACTCTATGATGAAATAGTGTAATAATAGTATTTAAATGAAGAAAACCTGAATTTGATTTTATAATGAAAACAAAATATTGAAGATGTACATGAACAAAGCACTTTGTAATTCAAATGCAAAACTATTAGTAGTGAAGTTAGTAGAAGGAATAAAGTCACTATTACTAGTACTAATAGTAAAAAGTACAGTGCAGTAAAACTTTTTTCTCCCCCAAAAATTACTCAACTACCCACCTCTGAAGATGGATAGCAAAAATTAGTAGCCCGTTATTGCTAACTAGCTTAACATATATTGTCTTGGATTAACTAGCTAGCAGCTTATTACGCTACTTACTCGGTTTGTTTAGAAAAAACTGCAAAGGTTATTTGGCTTTTACTGGTTTTTGTCATGATTTTAATTTCTAACATAAAGGTATTCAGATCTGCACAGCAAAATGTCTCGGTTGCTAACCTGCCTAGCATCTTAACCGCTCATGTTGTGTTTAAAGGCGGCTCGGAAAAGCATGTTATGACATGCTAACAACGGATTAAGCAGTTGTAACGCCTGAAATAAAATACGGGAAACCGGTAGGGGAAGTGCGGGCGCCCTTTCTGTTCAAATCGAAATAAAAATAATAGAAGGTTGGAAAAAGATAAATAAATGAATTCAACAGCTTCGAGGTCAGAGGTCGAGGTGTGTGCCCGCCCATGCCGCCGGGGCTGAGCAGTGCCCACACATACTGTACGGCTCGGACCGGCGCCTCCACGGCCTGTCAGCTCCGCTCAGCTCACAGCCAGCTGAGCCGACCCGCAGGACAAAATCCATTCTGTCCCGTTGCACTGACAGTGGGCCGGTTACGTAACGTGGCGTGTTGGGTGCATGTTGGTCAGCCCGGTTTACCGTCACACAGATGGTACAACAGGACTCGTTAAGTGTGAGGAGAGCCACCGCAAGGAGCCTTGATCCTTGGCACCAGAGTTTTTGCATGGAAAAACTCTGGTACACAACAGCTCCCGACCTTATGCTGCTCCACTTTATGCATTTACGTTCCTCAGGGTTTGGATAGTTTCATAGCAGAGGCGTCAAACTCATTTTTGTTTTGGGCCAAATTAAGATCATAAATGCTCTTAAGGGCTGGTTGTGCCAGAATGTATTACTAAAACCCATTAAAAATATTAATAAATTCTTAAAATGAGATCATCTTTCCAGTTCAACCAGAATTTTGTGATTACTTTTGTGATGTTTTTTGCAATAAAAATCACTTTGTGGTACTAATTTGGAAATATTAGAGATATTTTATTACTCAGCGTATAGATCTATAATCTGACATCAGTGAAGGTTGAGGCAACTGTTTAATACAAGTAAGAAAGTTTTTGATAATTATTTACAAAAACTGTGTTAGCACAAAAAAGTGTGTATTTGTTGATTTTTGCGTGAATTTTTACAATAAATCTCAAGAAACTGAAGGGACTGATTGATATAATTTGGTGCAAAACAGATAGAAACTGCATTTTTTATTGATTACATTATATTAAACAGTCCTAATGTTTAGGCTAGGTTGTAGAGGGCCACATAAAAATCTACGGTGGGCCAGATTTGGCCCACGGGCCTCGAGTTTGACACCTGTGTTTTATAGGAATAGAATGAGTCATTTAGAGCAACTGGATTTAGGCCATCCTCACAGAAAGTGGATTGATTTTATGAGATCTTGATTTTAACAGGTTAGTATCATATTCATTTAAATTTCTTTTGCACAAAAACATCTTAGATATTAAGTAAGATTTTAGTCTGTTCAAGTCCTTGCAGAAAATCCAAACAAGCAGCTGCCCAACTCAACTTTGTGTTCGCAGGTGAAAATGGCAGCAAACAAATGCCCAATTACACAACCATACATTTTTGAAAAGCATTAGTTGAGCCTCCTGCACAACCAACAAGAATGCAGCAAGTTGTTTCTGTTTTTTCTAGCAGACATTGATAAGACAAGACAGCATGAGATATAAGATGTGCAGAAATCACACAGAAAAGCTAGCTAGTTTGCTAGCTAGCTAGCAAGGGTATGCTAATAGCCTCATCTGCCTTGAGTCACAAAGTCTATGTGTGACTCAAAAAAACTATGCATAAATAGTGACTAGGCCGGTCACAATAACAAATTTTGCTGGACAATAAATTGTTTTATTTATTTGATTTTCAAGTAATATAATGGTATAATAATGCAAGAACAAATTCTTCAAAGATGGATAAACTTTCAAATTTAATCAAAATTTGACACCGGAACTGGAAGACATTTTAAATATCCAAAATAAATAAATAAAAGCAACAACTAAAATTAACTATGAACAACTGTTCTTGAAAAAAGAGCTAGTTGAGACCAAAGCACCAGACTGAAGACTTTTATCATCTGTTTTTGGTAGAAAAAGAGAAAAAAATGGCAATAATTGAGCTTATTTTAATTTAGCAAACGATTAATTGATTTACGACTTTAACTTGTGATTAACGTATTTAAGCTAAATTACATTTTTCTTTTAGAAATTTTGAGGCCTTCATTTCAGATACATGAATCTAAACATTTTAAAGACTCCGTGGACACAATGCTTGACCTTTGTGAAGTCAAAGGTCAGACGGTATTTTCTAAGCCTTACATTGTGCCTCGAGTTGTTTCCACAAAAGTCAAAGATGTGTATTCAAAATGTCTTGATCCGCTAAAAGTTCTTATCACTCTGACATAAAGGTACAATAATAAAATGAGTTTTACCTTCACTGCCTTGATGATGGCGATGATGCCTGTAGGCCAGAAGCAGCACACGGTGGTTAGCACGGCGATGGGCAGGTAGTCGTGGGGCGGCCGGCGGTCCATCAGGGTGATGCTGGGGGGCATCTGCATGGGGTGGATCTGGCCTGGGGGGATCCCCGCGTGGCTTCCTGCTGCTGGCATGTAGGGCTGACCCTGAGCGGTTAGATGATTAGAACTGAAGCTTAAAGCAGTGATGGCAAACCTTTCCCATTGGAGAATTCAAGCACTTTTCAAGGTTTTCAAGGTAACTTTTCATTCTTTTCAAATTCAAAATCCTAACTCAAAAATACTTTATTGATCCCAAAAGGAAAACTAACTCATAAGGAGATAGTTATAGCTGCTAGCAGGAAAGGTCTCCTGTAGCAGTCTGTAGCACAGTGATTGTTGAAGGAACCTCTGACTGAAGACATACAGTCAGAGGTTCAATCAACCTTGGTTGATTGATACGACAGAATTTTAGTGCCATATTAAGAAAAAAATATAAAATAAAAAACAAAATTCTGAGAATAACATCATAATATTAACACTTTATTATCTTAATACTACAACTTTCTTCTCATGTTATTCCAACTTTGTTCTTGTACCAGTTTATTCTCATAATTTTATGAATTCATTCTTGTAGTTTAAATATTTTTTTTAGCATGGCCCTAATACTCTGTTGTACTTTGGAGGTAAAAACAACACAAATGTTTATAGATGTTATTAATGATATATTCTGATAGGATTTTACATTCTATAGCAAGGACAAAGTGAACTAAAATATAACAACATTTTATGTTCCCTCTTTCCTTCTTGTCAGTTTGTGAATTGTTCTGGTTCCGTATCTGAAATTTCTCTCCTGAATTTATTCTGAAATATTTGTCTTTTTCTAATAAAATTTATTGAAAACTAAATGAAATTAAAATCCTGGAAATCAGACAAACTTTGATGTTAAAAAACCGGGAGGAACCATTTTTGCTTACTTTTTTCAATTATTGGTGAACTTTTCACCTTTAAATCTAAAACGTCAGTAATTTTGTACCAAAAATAATGATGATGATGATGAAGATGACAAAAAAATTAGCAGGATTTTCCACAAACTAAATGTTGCTCAAAATAAAACTTGTATTTTCAAATAAGATTCACCCAAAACGTCAAATATTTCTAGTTAGGTTAAAAATTAAGCTTTTGTATGTTTCTAAAATAATAAAAAAATAAAGCATATATATGTAAATAAATAAAGCTTTTAACCTAAAAATAAATAAAGGCATGAAACCGCCTCCATGAGAGTTTCGCTCTGTGACTCACCGACGCCATGGGATACACGGGAACGTAAGCGGTGCAAGGCTGCAGCTGCAGCGGGTAACCCGGGTGGATGTAGCCCACAGGCGGGTGCTGCATGGCGCCTCCGGGGCCCTGGGTCTGCACCGTGTAGCCCTGCGCGGCGCCCGGAGCCCCGAAGTGGAACGTCGTTTCTTGGAGGTATCCCTCGGAGCCCGGAGGCGGCGGCGGCGGAGCGGGATAACCGGGCTGGGCGCCCGGCACGGCGGCCATGTTGGGATCCGGGGGGCCGGGGAGGTACGGGGGCGGCTGCATGGTCTGACGGCCGGAGTCGTCGAGTCCTGAGAGCAGCAGAGCGGAACGCAGCGCGACTCAATGGGGTATGGAGCTAAATTGGTGCCACAAAGTTTGATAAAAAAAAAAAAAAAAAAAAATGTTCGTTTTGAAACTGGAAAGAAATATTTGAAACAGAAAAGTAAACTTTTAAAACTGAAAAATAATTTGGAAACTGAAATATGATTTGAAACTAAAAACTGATTTTGAATTTTGAAAAAAACAACTGAAAAGCAATTTTGACACTGTTTCTCAGATATTTCTTTTTCAGTTTCAAATTTTTTTCTTTCAGTTTCAAAATAGTTTTCCATTTTTACAATTTTAGTATGAAATTTCTATTTCAGTTTCAAACTTTTTTCAATTTAAAAAAATATTTTTCAATGTGAAATAATTATTTTTCTGTTTTAAATATTTTTGTCGTTTTAATTTCTTCTCAGTTTAATATTTTTCGCTTTCATCTTTTTTCAGTTTCACAATAAACATTTCTGAGCAAACATTATGGCCTAAAGAAACATTCACAATTACTTTTCAGATCCTTTTTTTCATTTTCGAAATAGTTTTTCAGTTTTACATTTTTTAAGTATCAAAAAAAAATTCAGTTTCAAAAATATTTTGCAGCTTGAACTTTTTTTGTTTCAAAATTATTCAACAGATTCAAATATTAAAAAAATTTTCAGTTAAATAATTTTTCAGTTTCAATTTTTCATGCTTTTCTTTTGCAGTTTCAAAAACAAACATTTCTGAGCAAACATTATGACATAAAAAACATCCACAACTACTTTTCACATTCTTTTTTTTCAGCTTTAAAATATTCTTTCAGTTTCACATTTTTTTAAGATCAATTTTTTTTTTTTTTCAGTTTTAATTATTTTATTTTTTTTTTCCAGTGGCGGGAATGGAGCAGAATTGTGCAGGAAGGCTATTTATTCTCCAAGCTGCTCCATCTCCGCATTAATGATGACAGCAGTCGACATTTCCACACCTCAGATTGAAGACGATGAAACAAATACCCTTTTCATCTCTGTTTATCGTCACTCAGACATGAGACATTTTATCATGGAGAATCTTGTCTGCTTTCTCCCACCTGTGCGTTCTCTCCGTGTTTGTCAGAAAATGACTGATAGAGTGTCGTGCTTTCACAGCATAAAGGGGGGCTGAGATAATACTGCCTGACAGTAACATGGAGGAGGGAAGTGAAGGGGAAACAGGTGGATGCTGGATGTTGAACCGAGCAGCTGCACTGCAAAAAACAGAATCACAAGTATTTTTGCTCTAGTTTCTACTGCAAATATCTTAGTGCATTTGAAATAAGACAAAACTAACTTTCAAGTAACTTTTCAGTAAAATATCGGAGCGTCATTTAAGTCAATAATTCCTTAATGTTGTTTTTTTTAAAGGTCCTCGATCCACTAATTTAGCATTTTTTCAATATTACTTAAAACAAGTTCTTATATCTTTACAGTAACATTTCAGCAAAAGTAAGGGCTTATTTTAAATCAATAATTCCTTAATATTGATGAAGAAGTATCAGTTCCACTGACAGATTATTTCACTTATGAGAAAATTTTTTAAGTAAAATAATCTGCCAGTGGAACTAAAACTTTTCCATCAATATTAAGGAATTATTGACTTAAAATAATCTTGAAAAAGTTACTCGTAAGCTAGTTTTGTCTTATTTCAAGTGCAGTAAGATATTTGCACTGGAAACTAGACCAAAAATACTTGATAAGATTTTGTTTTTGCAGTGTAGGAGTTTGTTTTCAGTCATTAATTCCTGAATATTGAATTTAAAAAGGTACTTGTTCCATTGGCAGATTATTTCACTTATAGCAAATAATTTTTCATAAATGCATATAATCCGACAGGATCGAATACGTTTTCATCAATGCTAAGGAATTATTGAGTTAAAACAAGCTCTTATATTTTTGAAAAAGTTACTTGTTAGTTTGTTTTGTCTTATTAAAAGGGGAATAAGATGTTCACAAAGAAACTACACCAAAAATACTTTAAGATTTTATGTTTTGCAGTGACAACTCCTGTTTTATGTAAAGTTTCCTTAACAAGAAAGAAGTGGACCAGAAACACAAAGAGACACCTGGAAAAGGTTACAGACAGAACAAGCAGTTTGTTTGCAAAGAGGCATTTTTATTCCCATGTTTCCCAGAAGATTTGCAGGAAGAACAGGCAACCAGAGGCAAAACATTCCTCACATGACATCAGCGTTCACGTGAAATGATCCGCTGAACGCTGCTGCTGATGTTTGTTTCCTCACTTATTCTGAAAAGATCAATTTCCATTGAACAATTAGTCAGCCTGCTTACAGCCAAAGCAGTAAGATATTATGCTGCATGTTTGGCAGAATTGTCTATAGGAGGAAATGAGACAAAATTAATTTTCGAGTAACTTTTCAGTAAGAATGATCAACTTGTTTTAAGTCAATAATAACTTAATATTGATATTAAAAAGGGTAATAGTTCCACTGGCAGATTATTTCACTTACAAAAAGTAATTTTTCCCAAGTAAGAAGTGAAACAATCTAACAGTGAAACTAACCTCTAAAAAAAATCTAATTTAAGGAATGACTGACTTAAAACAAGCTTCTATGTCTTATTAAAAAGTAACTTGTAAATTAGTTTTGTCTTATTTCAAGCACTAATAGATTAGAAACTAGATTCAAAAGTACAACAAATAAACATCTAAAACTTGCAGGGATATTAATCCTTTAAGCCTAGAAATGATAGAAGACCGACTTTGTAACTATCTTTATGTGTATTTGGATGTTCAGGGCCTGATCACTGCAGTTTCCAGCTGTAATAGAAAGTTGTTGTGTGTTTTCTTTTTTAATTAATTTCTAAACCTGTTTTGATGTAAATCGTGTAATGTAGAACCAACGTAACAGACAGTTTTATTTCTGTTGCTGCTGCTCGCCCTTTGTTTCCCTCCTCCTCTGTTTGGGCTCCAGTTTCAGGTCCAGTTTGTTCTGGATGCAAAGCTCCGTCTCCGCTCTCGATATCAGACGAAACTGGCTGCAGAGCCACAGCTATTACCGTCATTACTTATTTATTTAATATTGATTAATTGGCGCAGGCACGAGCCCGTGACGGCGCGCGCATGCAGAGGACACCCACATCAAACAGTCTGGGGAGACGGACGTAAGCTCGTGCGTAATGATGGAAATGAGGGCTCGGAACTGAGGTTTCATGCCTTTTAACGCCACATTCTGCGCGGCTCGTGATGAAATACGGGTGGCATCGTGTCGCCGGGGTGGAAATGACCCCAAAGTGCCCCGACGGGGGCACTTTTCACAGTGATAATTGGAGGCCCTGCGGTGGTTTTCTCCCCCTCATGCTGCACCCACACAGCGGCGCATCCTCCCGCTGGAGCGAGCGGCTCTGGACGGAGCAAAACGTGAACAGATCTGACGAAAAACAGAGAAAACGCGTCTCAGTCTTACCGTGTTTTTCAGACGACATGCCTCCCGGTTTGTCTGTACGTCCTTTAGTCGGATGTTTCACTCCAGCTGCTGGTAAATATTAAAATAATAATAATAATAAATCCCCTCCTCCTTTCGAAAATTTTACTTGTCCAAACCCATCTTCAGGATGTCTTCATCGTCAAAGCTCGCTCGGTGTGAAATAAACTGGAGGAGTTTCTATGTCTGACGGGGTTTTAATCCTCGGTGTCGCTCCGCTGCTGCTCTGATAAGGTTTCTTCACCAACACGTCGCTCTATATTGAATTAATGAAACACAAAACTACCCTCGTCTTAAAGCGACAGCCCGAAATGTGGGCTGGCAGCGAGCCGGCCCAAAGCAGCAGCGAACTGAGCGGCAAACAGCTTTAAAACAATACAGAAAGTAAAAAATATATATATAGCCTATTGGCAGAATCAAACATCCAGATCTGCACCATTAAATATAAAAAAAAAATCAGCCGAAAAATATTAATAAAAGAAATAGAATTGTAGCTGAATTTATGTAAATTAATAGAGTAATTAATTTTAATTAAAAAAATAAGATTTTTATTTAGCAAATTTGGTCATTGTTTATCAAAACTAATCCTTTATCATAGGCTCAAAATGTGTTTCCAATACAAACATTTGCAAATGTTTTTCTATATTCTGACAATGTAACAAAAAAAGAAGTAAAAGTTGCGGTGTTTCCATTAAACAGAAAATCCAATAAAAATCACACAAAATAAGTTTGTTCACGAAATAAGTCATTAAAAACATCCTCCTACCACTTCCTGTTGTGGTCTTCTTTGTGGTTTTCTCCAGTAGCAACATGCTGTTGTTGATCATGTGACGACAAAATTGTTTCCAATGTAGTTTGTGACTAAATTATATGGCCAAAAAAACTCATTGTAGCGACAAAACGTTATCAAAAAATTTCAAAATTTGTTCCTGCTAATTTATTTTAAAAATGTGAATTTGCACCAATTGTATGGTCAATGGAAACACAAGTATTGATAACTACTAAAAGGAGGTAAAGCAACAAAAGGAGGCGACTGCAATTGTTCATCATTCTATTGACCAGAATATAAAATTTCAATTAAAAACACTTTTAATTTAAGAGAACACTGAATTTTTCAGTAAATCAGGGTTTTGGGTTTTAATTGGCTCAAAGCCATAAAATTTAAAAGTAGCTGAAATAAACGCTTGAAAAATATCAATTTAGTTAATGTAATTTGTTGTAAATGCTATGCTCTGGATGTTTCAATTATTTTTTCTTTTTTTACAACCAACCTGCCAGGGGACTAAATTTGAAAATTGGCACTTGTGGCTAAAGTTGCTCCATTTACACGAGTGTTTTAATCTACTTATGTTGGCTAATACGTGCCATCACTCATGAAAAACACTAAAATAAAACAGAATGAAAATATTTAAAAAAAAACATGGACATTACATCACTAGAGATGTAGAATTAAAAGGGAGGGGGGCCCAAAATCCAACTGTGCCTCAGGCCCTGTATAATATTTTTCCGGCTCTGCTGAAACATCCTTATTGGGATTTTTTTTTTGTGATAAATATGATTAATTTCTCTTCTCAGAACCTCAATTTTCTCCTTAAATAATCTTGACAACAAATATAAAAAAAAGATAAATGAATAAATCATGTAAGCAGTTTAGGAACAGATTTTAATTCTGTACAATAATTTACAACCCAAACTCCATGTCTTTTTCCCAAAGTGTTTGGTCTGTTAGTTAAAATCTCTCCCAGATTTCCATGTAAACATCAACTAGCTTCCACTTTCTTTCGGCACAAACATTCCCGCTCTTTGTTTCTACACGATTGGCTCGTCCTTCCTTCAGGTTTGTTTTCTCAGTGGGTGTAGAGGGAGGCGGTGAAGACGATGTCCCTGCGGATGGCCAACGAGGCTTTCTCCATCTTGCTGCCCAGGACGGAGTCTCCCACGATGCGGGCCGCCTGCCGCACCTCCTTCAGCACCTCGTCCAGGCGCTGGATGCAGCGGACCACCGTGCCTTCCTGCACGTCTGTGAGCTGCGCGATCTCAGCGAACGGCTGCAGCAGGGCAACAGGAGGCAGGAAATCAGTTAGTGGAGCAATTGATCAATAAATCAATAGGTAGATTATTGTAATGGAGCACACAGGTGCGATAATATAACTAAATATGAGTCAAAAATACTGTATTTATAGACCAGTTCTAGTTAATGTAACATTATTAGTTGGGCTGGGCAACATGGCTTAAGAATAACATTCAGATTCTTTTTTTATTCTAATTGATTTAATTTTTGCTTGCTTCCTTTTCTATCACCACGCTAAAAAAAATAAATGACAATAATAGTCAATATTAAAAAAATAAAGTAACAAACTCTTAAAAACTAATAAAATTATGAGAATAAAGTCATAATATTACAATAATAAAATATAAAAAAATATGAGAATAAACTTTATAAGAATAAAGTCAAAAGAAATAAAGTAAAAAGAAAAAGAGTATAAAGTCATAATATTACGAATTACTCTTGCAAACCAAACACAACCTAAGAACGTTTTCTTAACAAGTTGAAGTTTCAGTAGATTCAGTTTCACTGGGGACCAAAATTGCAACATTTGTTACATTTTCAGCTGCCTTGGTTCTTTTTTAAATTGGACCGTTAAACCATTTGAAAACCTGTTCCCCTCCTCGCCTGTGGTGGCGCTGCATTAAGAACCACTGAAGAAAACAATACAGAAACCTCTGTAGAACAAATGAGCGCAGCTTCCTTCTTTACAAAATATAAATGACTGGTCAGCGTGAGATTTTTGTACGACTTTTCTTTTGTCTTTTCCAAAAGACCACAAGCCATTTATCCTGTAATGCTAGATTATTGTGTTGTTTCATTGTATTTACCCAGAATGCCCTGCTTTTGAAGTGGTCTCTGGTTTGCTTGGCATTCATAAATCCGTACAAATTACATCAGAGTTCAATTCAACAGCTTATATGTAGGTTTTCAGGCGTATAAGAGTTTTTTTTTCATAATTTGATTGCGCATTTATACCTCCATAAACAAATCAAATTGTCTGAACATGGCCGGAGTGAGCGCTCCTTCAATTACTAGAGATGCATCAGGTTCTACTGGTTTCAAAGGAACAACTTTTACAACAGTCGGAAGCTGCAGTTTGCATGAAAAGTGGGGTAAAAAGGGAGAACTGGGTCACAATGGGGGCATCCTCACCATGCCTCTGGCCCAACAGTACACCACCTCCGTCAAGCCGAACTTGAACTGGCCTACAAACTCCTCGGCCGTCTGCGCTATCCCACACTCCCGCTGCAGCTGCCCGATTCGCTGGGCCACCGACAGCACGCGCTCGATGCTCTGAAAGGACAGAAACGGTGGATAAAACCTGTCAGACCCACCAGACTCTACAAGCTGCTGCTGGGCATCAACAGGAGGATCTTCTTCCAGGAAATCTGTGTTTTTTTCTTCCAGACAGCGACTCAGGTCATCACTAATTTAAAGCTCCTGTAAAGCTCTTTCATGTCAAGGCTGTTCCCGACACGCTGATGCAGAAAGTGATTTAATACGTGACCCGGTCTGAGTCAGGAGACGAGGCCTCGCTGTCCTTTCTGCAGGATGTTATGCATCAGGTCAACACAGCCTTACACAAAATGAGTCACTGCAACACGTCGCTTCATTAACTGCTACTTTCTGGGATGTGCAGGGAGCAGAGGCTGCCTCCTCCTCACCTCCTTCAGAGTGCTGGTGATGTGCGGCTCCGTCTGCGTGTTCTGGGTGAAGACCAGGCAGGACAGCAGGGCGGCGCTCTCTTCGGGCGCCAGCGGGCTCAGGACGTTCTCGAACAGCAGCTCGGTCAGAAGCAGCTCATGGCTGCTGATCTGACAGGCCACTCGGCCTTTCAGCTGCACCGCGCCGCTGCTGTCGATGTACTGCAGCGACTGAAGAACCTGAGGGCCACAGAGCAGGAACACGAACAAACCTGGTCAAAGATCAAGACTGATGAACGACTGCAGGACTGAACCCGCTTCCTTAAAACCCTTGAACAGGGTAGGATAGCTCTGTGTGACAGGCCTAAAAGAAGCAGTTGAAACGCAAATGGAAACAAAAACATGCAAAATGGGAATCTTGCATAATAAATGCCCTTTTTTAAAGCCACATCTTAGAGCACAGGAAGCTATGGAAGTATATTTGGTGCAAAAGTAGTTACGCCTTCTAACAGTGTAGTTGAAGTCAAAGAGAAAAATCCTGTAAGTTTTGTAAATGTGTTTTTTTTCTTTCTTTCAATTCTTTCAATCAGCTCCTCAAAATTTTAAGTACAAGTACACAAACTTGAGTTGTGCTTTAAAAAAAACATCTTTCACGCTCTCATAGTCAAAATATGATAAAACCTGATCAATTTCACGCTGAGTCACTATTTCCTTCAAACTTCAGCCTTCAAAACGGTTGCATTTCACGATTTGACCGACTTTGAAAGACTACACAGAAACTCTGTGGAAAAGTCCAAACCTTGATCCTCTGGTGGTATTCGGGCAGCAGCATCAGGGACTGGTCCGAAACCAGGAACAGAAGCCGGTCCAGCTCCTCCTGAACGCTCATCCTCTCCTTAATACGAGCAAACTGGAACAAAAACAAAGCAACAAATCAGACGAACCGGAAAACAGAAACATTGCAGAAATAATCAGATTTTGAAGGAACATGTTTTATACAAATGGTTAAAAAAATTCTCTTTCTGTTTTAGGCTTTTAACCATTTGAGACGTAGATTCAATGTTCTAAGTTATTTACTTTGAACTTAAACTGATGCTACTTATTAGGGAAAATGAGACAGAAATGGAAAATCTAAATCTAAATACACTCCTGTTCCTACAAGAAGATTTAAACAAAGTATCAATAAGAGTAAAATTAAGCTTCAATAGTTGATCATTTGAAACAAATGATTGCTATCATTTGTTGCAACTGTTTTATATTCTAATGTGATCTAGATATTGATATTAGTTAAAACAAAAACAAGAAAATATCTGTGAAGGCTTGTACACTGCGAAAACTATCTTAGCAAGTATTTTTGGTTTAGTTTCTAGTGGAAATATCTTAATACTCTTAAAATGCAACCAAACTGACTTAAAAGCAACTTTTTTAGCAAGATATATTAGCTTGTCTTAAGTCAATAATTTTTTAATATTGATATCTTTCCCATGTTAACAGTGAAATAATCTGCCAGTGAAAGTTGTACTTTTTTATCAATATTAATCATTTATTTACTTATAAAAACTTATATATCTTGCTAAAACGATA